TATTAGCACTGAGTAACACTGATTAAAACCCAAATTGAGTAAACAAAACTCTCTCTGGAGATTATTGGCTCTAAGACAGTCACATAATGTGCAGACACAATTTGAGTCATTGCACTGGGATGTTTTGTTTCACAAATGTAACCTGTGTCATGTTTCTTCGGCTTTTTCATTGTCAGCATTGCCTCTCACACTAATGTCATCCTGTTTTCCACGTCTTCAGTAGGCGGAAGCCAATTTCAGCTGTCATTGGTGCCATTATTTATACTTGCATGTGTCAAAACAAACTTATTTCAGTCATGCTGTCATTTTATTTTTAATGTAAAATATCATGACTCCTCCACATAAAAACGATCAAAATTGGCTTTCTAATGAGAGCGCTTACAATGAAAATCAATTTGTTTGACTTCAGCGGAGTGAACAGTTCAGACACTTTTTCACTGTTGTGTAAAAATCATTATAAATCCTTTATCTTCAGCTTTTTTATTTAAAGCTTTAAAAATGAATGTATAATGGGTTACGTTATGATCAATGAAAATTTAAATCATGCATATAAAATCATCTCCCTGTTTATAACAAATCATTGTGCTGCTGAGTAAAAACACGAAGATGACACGTGCCGAACGATCAGGCCATCCTTTGTTGCAGTGTTTACAGTAATTAGTGGGCAGAATCAATTTCATTTCTTCTTTGGGAGCACAAACCCCCAGATAACACAAGAACCTCCTGGAGTGTGAAAATACAAGTGGTGAGAGTGTGTTGATTTGTTGCAGGTAAAATGATCCAGTGGTAAATGGCAAAGGGTTTCAACACCCAAGAGCAACATTTGATTGTTGCTATTGATCTGCGCAGGATTCAAAACCCCTATTTGCCAAAAAGTGCTGTGAAAGAACGGGCAAGGCAATGGAGGTGATTGAATTCAAACAGCACTGTCTAACTCATGAAGGTCACAGGAAAATAAGAGACATATTTGAAGAGAATGTGCTGAAAATAGATATGGATAACTCCATATTTTTCTCTTTTTTATTATTGTACATCAGAACACTTTACTCCTCTGTCTTTTTCTTATTACTAAAATGAGAAGTAAACCCTTATGCCTCACACTGAAATCAGTTGTTGATCTAAAACAAGTTTCCAGGTCCAGTACAGTTTACCTTAAAAATCCTTAGTATTAGTATTGTTTTTTTAGGGCAATATCTCTTGAATGATATTGTAATGTACTGCATCCCAACTGCATATCATTGAATTGTTACATGTCGAATCATATTGGATCACATTGCATTGGATCGCATCACATCACACTGTACCACATCATGTCCCATCACACTGTGCTGTATCTTATCACATTACATCACATCATTTAGTTGTGTTTTTCACTGTATCCCATCCCATCCTATCCTAGCTTATTACATTGTATCCTATCACATCATTTCATTTTGTTACATATTGCATTGCATCATATCGTATCATATCCAATCGAGCTTCCATCGTAGGGCTGGGCGATAAACCGAAAATTTACCGATACCGAAATTTACGACAATAACCGATGTCATTTTGCCCATGTCAATATATTCAGTGTCAAAAAAATAAATAAATAAAAGTTGGTTTTTGATGTGTGTAGGTAGGCTACGGTCTCATGTCCCTTTAAGACACTGTCCCACGTTAGAGACATGACTCCACCCCATCCAGTCCAACAAAGAGGGAATGACAGGTGAGGAGATGAAGGACGGTTCAAAATTTCTAGCGGCTGGAGCGGTGGCTGAAGTTGACATAGTTAATGTGGGAGGGGGTGAGCAGCTTGTGGAGTAGTTATCGTCCATTTATCGTTATCGAGGTGAACTGCTCAATGTATCGTGATATTGATTTGAGGCCATATCGCCCAGCCCTATTCCATCAAATTGTCTTGTTCCCCATAGAATTCCATTGCATCATATTTTATTGTATTGCATCTATCAACAGCAACAGAGGGGGTCCACTTTTTGGCTACTTTTAATTAGCTTCAATCATGACATTATTCTTACTATAAGTGTGTATTCTGGTATATTTTCACCACTTTACTCTGCTGTCAGAAGGCCCGTTTCTTTACTTGGACATAGCGTACATATATGCTCTTCTGCCTCACTTTATCAGTCACTGGCTTGTCTTGACTTCAAGTCCCATAATTGTACTATAAGTATGTGGAATTGTTTATTTGAGGAGGGGTGGCTTCATGTCTTGGGACCCACAAACAAGGATGTTCTCTGGTATGAAGAGCTGCTTGTGTGGCACTATGTGATGTTTTCTCCACTGGAAGACTGATTGGGTGGCACTTTTCTCTAATAGAAGAGTACCCTGGAGAACCTCTTTCAGTCCTCTCCAATGAAGGGCAGGTCGGCATGACATGAGAAGAATATCCAATGTGCAATTACATTGTTTAATACTGCAATAAATGAAAAATGGGATAAATAAAGCAAAACTAGAGTCCATGTTAGCTTCATATTACAGTTTTTATGGCTTGAATTAATCTGCCGACAGCTATCTTGGCTTCATCTGACTGTATCAAAGTGGGTTGAAAGCAAAACCTTCAGGCTTTCCAGGAAAATATAACCTGTGAAAAGGCCATTGTTAACATCAGATCATTTCCCTTTTTTGTTGCTATAAACTCACTCTTGTGCAATGTATTAATTGTGAGTACTCATGTTAATTAATGATGAAATTAAAATCAATTACTCAGCCTTACTTTGGGGACACTCTGGAGGACACTTTCTCACTTTTTATACACTGAAAGTGGCACCTTGGAGGGCACTTAATCTTTCTCTTTTCACTGGAATGGTTCCCTTGAGGGTACTTCATCTTGTGTTCTTTACTTAGGGGGTGCCAAGGAAGGGTGATTTATCACTTATTTTTCTGCTAGAAGAGACACCCCAGAGAGTGCTTTATTAAGTTTTACGTATCAAGTCTGCCCAAACTTGTAAGTGGGAACAAATGAAATTCTCTCATAAAGTTAATTCAGCGCTTTACTGGTTGAACTCCTGGAGGTCTTTCTGTTAACCATTTCCCAACATAATACACCTATGGCGTTTAGCAGTCTTTGTAGCATGCATTTTTTGCCATCAGATATTTCTTCATCTTCAAAATAAATGCCACCATCAAACATTTGACTTATTGTATTTACAAAGGCTGCAGTAATTTGAGCCTAAATTATCAAAGATGATTATCTTCATCGTTTGACAGAAGACGGATGATAAATTTAGATTGTATCTATTCCTGGTTTTCAACAGATGGTGTATTTTTGTCTCGTCTCTCAGTCAGTGAATTAATATTTTGATTGCTTTTGAGTCAATGCTACCTTATTTGCATGTGCAGTTACATAAATAGGTTTCATAAATGGACAAGAAGCTGTTATTATATGATTCAGGTTATAGTCAAGACAAGAAAACTGTGAGAGAATAAATGGGGTCATGAGCTTGACACAGTCATGTAGAAATTCTCCCACTAAGTTTTTCATACATTTTCTGAACTTGGCAGTTTTTGTTTAGGTTAAATTTTGAAATTGTCACTAAAACTTGGGTTTTAATTACTGTGACATGATTTTCTACAGTTTGACAAATTGCATCACAGGCCATCAGAGGAGATAACTCCTTACTACTCCTTACTACTATTTTTCCACAACGTTACACATAAAAAATGAAAAGCCATTGCCTCTGTGGTGATGAATTGGGAAAACATGAGCTGAACAGATCCTCTTTTCAGCATACAGATCCATCATCTCAATTTGTTTTCTATCTAAACTTGTACTAATGAAAATATCCCTCCCTGAGGTTTTGTATTTCAGGAGTTAGTGCCACATATTGTTTCTGTGTCCAACCCCATTGTGAAATATTCACTCTGTGTCTTTACTTTAAGAGTTTAAATACAATAATCAACCATATTAATCTGTTACAGTTTGAAAACATACTGGATTCTGGGTATTTACCCCAAGTTTTTTCACATAAGCCTTTTTTTTTCCATCTTTTTTATATCTTGCCAGGTTTGCTGTACACATTTATTACTGAGACCTAATAAGGATCATGATTGTAATCATCACTCAAGGAAAAAGTCTCTTCATTTCAAAGCCGGGGTGAATGATATGGATTAAAGCCACTCTTCAATATTTCTTAATTAGTCTTTGCTGCCATTGTCTGCATGTATTAGGTGTAGTGTAAAGCTTTTCTGAAAGTAGCTGATGAATAATTACAGCTCTACAAAGATGTAACACTTACCATACTTGAGGGTTAGTATGCCAAAAAGCCTCAATAGTTGTAATTGTTCGTGTTGCCTTGAAGAACTTAATGGAAAAGTACATTTTCTTTCAATTAATCTGCTGTACTGAGCTTCACTACCAAACACAAAGAAAAATCACATTTTATTATATATTCTACCTCTCATGGATTCAATAAGAGCCTTTAGTGACTGAAGTCAGAAAAACTGCCTCCTACTCAACACCAAGGATGGAGACTTCATCTACAAAAAGGATCAGAGCATCTCTTTCATCTGAGAAAACTTATAAATATAGTAAAATTATGGTAGAAAGCTGTTGTTGTTGTGAATTGACACTATATAGATATCAAGATCAATTGAGATTGATTAATTGAAATATAAACCCCATGAGACCACATGCATGTCATAATACATCTGTATGGCCTCGTCTCATCTTAAACTTGTGGTTTTCATTTGATAGAAATCAGAATTTGCTGTGAGACTGACCATTTTAGAAACACATTACATTTTTTATAATCGAAAACCCCTATAAAAATACCAGGGTCTCATAAATGTTATCAGCACTGATATTGCTCTAACATCAGAAGTGTTTTAGGTGTTGACAATAGCTGAGTGACTCAAGAGACATCAGGTCCAGTAACTGGAAAGAGATGTGCTTTTGGAAGATTTCTGTCTCCGTCTTGTTTTTGGAAAAGATGCATTTCGTGTTGTTTTTCCTCTCACACCCCAAAAGATGTTAGTAGAAATACACACTTAAACCACCGTGCCAACGTGTAAACATAATGATCTGAGAACTTTTATTGGCAGCACTTCTGGTCCTGATCAGAGATCATAACCGTTATGTTTACAGGACAGAAAATACACAATCATTCGTACCATCTAATGGCAGGGTGGCTCAATACTGGTGTTGGTAAAACTTGATGAATCAATTCAGTTCACAAACTCAGAGCCCAGTAAAGCAACGTTCACATCCACTGTGAAAATTAAAGGATATCAAGCTTACAAACATATACTACAGCAGCTGCAGGTGTAGAGCTCCTGCTATTTCGTGTAATTCCCTTTAAATCCAAAATGAAAAAAAACAAAAGATTCATTTTTTTTTTTTTAACAGACACCACGGCTTGAGCAGTAGTAAAGTGATGTGGGAGTTTGACAAACAAAAACAACCATCTTGATGGAGAGCTCTATTATCAGGTCAGGTCTTATCTCATGTACTCAGGTTGACCACATCTCTTTTAGATGGCGCTGCTGGACATTAAGGGATCGGGGCATTTGTCCGGGATGTCTGAGCAAAATGCAGCACTATTGTCTCTTCGTGTCTCCTCTATTTCAGTATTGATCAGAAATAATAGTCCTCTTTCAGTCACTGAAGAAGAGTGGTATTAGAGCCCCACATGCTTCAGCAGCTTTCCAATCACTTTGCGCCTGAGTGCAAAGCTCAGTTCAAAGGTTTACTTTGACCCTTTCCCCTCAGAATATTTGAAATAAGAGCTTCTGTTGATAAACCTTCACAGGTACTGACACACTTTATGCCTATGTATCATACATACATATACGGGTATATTTTAATTATATCTCTTTAGAATAGTTACAATTTGAAAGCTAAGAGCCGGGTTAGTCCACAGAAGCTGCACTCTGAATTCACTTCTGCTTGATCGCAACAATAATGTACAAATGTACAGACTGGCTTCTGTCTGCAGGAGTCTCCCACACTGTGAGAGAGCACTGGCAGGTGGAACTGGACCACTTAGACACAAAAATAGAAAAACAGAGTTGCTGTACATATTTAGAGAGAGGGGGAATGCCACACGGTCCATTTTTCCTGTGAACTGCACCGATCCTCCCATCTGCTCGGTGCTGGGAGGGTCCTCGGCACGCACCCCTGCAGTCTTTAGTGTCCATTGTTAAGCAGATGAAGGAGCAACAACAGAAGGCTGAAGGCAGCTTGAAGCATTTGGCTGGAAGGCGATGCAGAGCTTGGGAGGCTGTTGGATGGCAGGGTGGACTGGCCCACGAGTAGTTCATTTCCCAGAGCCTGAGAGGAGACAAAAAGATCAGTTTACGACTGCACCTTTTCAGATAGTCCTGTATCATTTTTCACAAACGGTGGCCTCACTTGTACACCTCTTTCTGACTGTTTATGTTAAGGAAAACTTGGGGGAGTTAGAAAGTAAAAAGTCAATATTGACAATATTGTTTGGCATAAGTCAAAAACTCCAGCCACATTTCCACAGGGGGCACCATGTGTAGAGGTACGAGACACCAATGGTTTTACGGTTGTCTTTAAAAGAGGTGAAGATAATCTCTTTTGACTCGCCAATGCAGTTGTTGACATCGATACCAATACCAGTAACATAGTAGTATCAGAGAAGCTGCTTACATATATAAGCAGTACATATACTGTCTATGTATCTGGGATCGTTGAGTACATGCCAGTCAACACACCAACCAAACAGCACATTTAAGTGAAAAAATCAACAGGTTTGAGTTATTATCCGACAGTAACAGACAGAGGTAGAGAGTAAAGCAGTACAGCAATTAGAGTGATCTTCCACCAATGAGTATTACTTATTACATTGGTAATGGGAGGGTTACTCACTATCAGCTATTACCCAAACCTTAGGACCTGGGTCAAATTTAATGAGGCGCCAAAGGAAAGAGTTAAAGAAGGTGTCCCATTGGACAGTCATTGATTTTTCTGTGAACAGTGTTGCAAGTATTGTTGGAATCGTCAACTGGCTTTTTTCTTCAGCTGAAGTCACATTTCCTCTTGCCTTTAACTTTTCTAAGTTCCCCAGGCTGGTAAATTAGGATGTTTTGTTAACTCCCTTTGGTGTCTCACAAAAATGTCCACCATTTCATTTTTTGTCTGTCAAAGAAAAGACTGAAACTGCAATGTCAAAGATGGGCAATAGAGACAGAATCTTATCTTAGAAAGCACACTATGTTCTCCACTGAAATGTTATTTATAAGTCATATATTGAATATTTTGTTTAGAGTTTATATGTACTATTTGAAGACAAAAAAATCATATTTATTTGCCTTTCATTTCTTAAAAGTGTTTGTCAAATGTTCTTTCTTTACGGACTGTTATTGTGCGGGCACAGGGAGCAGGTTGAAAATCGAAAGTGACAAAATGAATCAATTTTGTGTTCCAGAATTTCATTTTTTGCCCACCTTGGTATTGAAGCAACTATTTGTTGTCTGATTATATTTTTTTTTTCTGGTATCTTTGCAAAGCTCAAAATGTTGGTATTGTGACTGCTCTGGTCTGGTCTGAGTTGAAATTGTCTCGGTTGACTTGGAAAACAACATGATCCTGATATGATTCGGGTTGTATGCATGCAACTGAGTCAAAAAGAAAAGACAAATAATTGAAGTCATCATCGCAAAATGGGAAAATGTATGTATAGTACTGAAAGAATATGCCACAACAGAAAATACTTCATACAAATGTTACTCTCCTCTTGTGTACCGATACATGCTATTCAAATATGAATAACTCACATATGAAAAAATATTCCTAGATATTATTCACTGCTCGATGTCTGACTGGACCACAGATCACACACCTGTGTTGGTATGATAGTGTCCAGAATATTCCTCATGGTTTCTAACGTCTCTTGTGGGAAAGCGGTGGTGCTCCTGTTTTCCTTGCTGCTGGAGCTGGGGCTGGGTGAACTGGGCTGGCTGACAGACGGCTGCTGTTCTGATTCACTTCCAAACGTCATGAGAGCATTCTCTGAAATATAAGACATGCAGTGGAAAGAAAAAACTTCAGTCACATGGTCTTGATACCATGCATTTTCATAGAATTTCTTTATGTCCCCGTTCAATCACAGCAGATCCCCCTCCAGTTCTGAGTAATACATTTTGCATGAGAGCTTTTGCTGGGTCAGAGCTAGTCTGGATTTGGACAGCAGAGCCGAGAGAGACACAGAGAAAAGAAAACAGAAAATACTCAGTATTCTCTTCAAGTATCCAAACTGCACCTGCCTCTCCACATCGACCTCATTAACTCATGGACCATTTGCACTGGCCAAACAACTCTGAGACCTCGCTCTGTATCTTTTCTAGGCAGGGGGCCCGAGGAAAGACTGGCCAGAGATTCACCTCGGTGCACATACCAAGCAAAGATTCTCATAGTGTGTACAGGTTCAGTGATAGATGTCTTCCCGCTGAGGTCAATAATAAGGACCATTAATTATTCAGCAGCTGAGCAGAGGTCGTAAGAGAAATGTGGACTTAGGATGAAAATTACCATTAGGTAACAGGACTCTGTTCTGGAGGACGCAGTAAATTACAAGACACTGGTGTAAAATTATGTACTATGTTATGAGCTCACCTTTATTCAGTGTTATTGTGTCGCTTATTTATATAACTCAATTTATATACTGCTGCTGTCTGTCATTACTCTAAATTGCCCAGTTAACCATCTGGGATGTAAAGTGTTCAACATGCTGATTAAAATCCTCTATATGGTCCTATTTTTGTCATTGAAGATATTTTGATCAGTCCAGCTGAGCCAATCATTTGTGTGCTTGTGGGTATTTTGAGCCCTTTTTTTTATGTGGCTCTAGAGATGAAAATCTGTTAGCTATTTGGTTAATCCCTCTAGTCCAGATGAAGAATGTAAAAAAAACAAAAATCACTGGATGGGTTATTTATTAAATGCGGTGTGTTATTTATGGTCAGCAGGTGATTGACTGATGTGAATCACTCAGCACAACTTTGATATTTGTGAGTTTGAGTGAATAGATTACTGTTTGATAGATTGCTGTGAAATCTGATTTGATGTCATGGTATCCTTGTTGAAAGATGTGTTTGGATTCTCTGACATTTCATTCAGTCCCATCAATCTATTAAAGGGATATTCCAGTGTAAAATTAATTTAGGGTCAAACACACTGTAACACAGAGTTAGACACCCCCTCGAGAGATGAATGTTGCCGACCGCTTGCTTCTCTAGTTATACCAACTTTAGTAACGACCGCACGATAGCAATACACAGCGGTCTGAGGAGCCATAAACAAACCTCAACCAGAACGTCACTCTATAACCACAAATAACGCTCAGAACAGCACCTAACTTCATCAACAGTACATATAGGGTCCCAGGTATAGTATTAGAGAATAAACATCTTTTTAACTTTGCCTAATTTCTTTAGCAAAGAGACTAAACACAACTCACTCACTCCCTTCCAGCAACCGCTTGTTTGTAGTGAGACTTCGGACCAGTCCATTATAGACTGCAGCGAGGTGACGCAGCTCAATTAAGAACATTTATGATCATTTTTTCATGGAAATGCAATCAGACTGAGACGCTTTCGGTTGAGGTTTGGGTGTGGCTCTTTAGACTGTGTATTGCTATTGTGCGGTCGTTACGAAAGTTGGTATAACTAGAGAAGCAAGCGGTCGGCAACATTCATCTCTCGAGGGGGTGTCTGACTCAGTGTTACGATGTTTTTAACCGTAAATTAATTTTACTCCAGAACATCCCTTTAAGTTGAACACTGACTTGTCTTAGCTTTGGATACTTTGGGTTCGTACTTTACCATGTTAGTGGGTAGGATCTAGATCATGGTACAGTTAATTACCAAATTCAATGGGAATATCACCAGTAGTATTTTGTAATCCACCTGACTATCCAATCAATAGCTTGTCTGAAAATGTGACCTCCTTAGCAGCATCAGCTGAACTTCATGTTTTGAGTTCATGGATAAATTTAAGCTAATCGACATAATAAACCCACACTGTCACGTTGGCTTTGCTTGAAGGTTACTCTGATGTGACTCGAAGCGCAGATATGTGGAAGTTCACATTTAGCACCTTCTTTTGTTATGGCAAGACAGAGACTGTTGTCTGTGATTACCAGTTTGTGTTTGTTCTCAGAGAGCAGTGACATTAGCCCACACAGCACAGCTTAATATGTGTGCATGCAAAGTATAAAAGAATTCAAATGTGCTTGGAGGACAGTACAGGGTTTTCTGAGAAAAACGGCCTAGCAATATTTTCCTCAGTCTATGAAACACGAGCAAAAGTTCATTCAAGGACTGAAGTATTGAGAAATGTTCGTATGTATTTGAATATCTTAAGTTTTCTGAAAGAAGTCTTGAAGAACAAACTCTTCACATTTCCTGCATTTATGTAGAAAAGTACATAATAATCATAAGATCCAGCTCACTTGTAATTGTCTGATAAGTATTGGTCTGAACACCTGGTTAAAATTACCAAGGAAACAGCATGTAGGGGTTGATTAATAACTGTGGACAATGAGGTGAGAGAGTGAATGGGAGGGAGTGAAGTAGGGACAGAGAGAGAGAGAGGAAAGACGACAGACCAAGAAGAAAGTACATTCCTATTTACAAGTATAGGATTTGTGTTCCGAACAGATTGCTCTGCTGCTGTTTGGGCATGCTGGGAAACATCTGGTTGATTGAATCCCATTATATCTGTCTTCTCTTGCAGAACTTATTTTAATTTCTTTACATACAAAATTTGTTTACATAGATATATGTCATTTTGAAGATCATGAGTCTTAATAGTTTGCTGCTATATTCACATTGGAATAAGGAGGGTCCAAATGCTACTTTTATTGAATATCAGATTGTGCATGCTAACAAATTACTGCTAAGAAGTTGGGTACACATCTACAGCTTGATTTTAAACCCAAAACTGAACAATATAGATTTAATAAGGATAAAATTATGATCTAAAAACTTGATCCAACAATCGCTGTAACTGTGATTCAAGATAATCTGTAAATTTTTTGCAGCCTGAAGGAGCAGTTTGCGTCCTTGGAGCTAAATAGAAATCATGTACTTATACACTCTATTATAGTTCCCTGAAAAGAGATTTGGTTGCTTACAATTGTCAGTGACTAAGACATGGCTACAAAAATACCTGGGATAACACAACAATGTCCAACTCTTTCCCTTAACCTGCAAAGCATTCGTTAAAACGACAATGTTTAAGTCAATCTTCTTTTACTGGTTGAAACAACAACGTTAAAGTCAATCTTCTTTTAAAGGTTAAAAAGACAATCTTTAAGTTAATCTTCCTTTACTGGTTAAATACACAATGTTTAAGTCAATCTTCTTTTACTGGTTAAATAGACAATGTTTAAGTCAATCTTCTTTTACTGGTTAAATAGACAATGTTTAAGTCAATCTTCATTTACTGGTTAAATAGACAATGTTTAAGTCAATCTTCTTTTACTGGTTGAAACAACAATGTTTAAGTCAATCTTCTTTTATTGGTTGAAAAGACAATGTTTAAGTCAATCTTCTTTTACTCCTGCGTGTTGTTTGGGTTCGAGTGGTACTCACGGAGACAGATGTTGTCAGTGAAGTATCCCAGAAAGGTATCACACTCTTCTTTCCGGCTTCCACTGGCCGAGCAGGAGCACCATGGAGCCACGCTGGATGTAGAGTTGTCAACATAGTTTGGAGTGATTGTGCTTCCTGCAGAGAGCCCACAGCAGGCCTCAGTCAGTATTAAATATTCATTCACCTTTGAGCTGTTACACTGAATCCATAGTGCTTTATAATCTGAGACATTAATGGATGATGCATTTCCTTCATGCTGACCCACAGCACAGGGCGGATCATTTGCTGGATAGACCGAATGTGCACCAGCTTATATGATGATATGAGGAAATTCTGACAAACACCCGACCGCCATACCTTCTTTAGGTCACAGCAGTCTCTGGTGTAGAGTTTTCTTTCAGCGCCTTTTTCTTAATCATAGTGGAGGGTTTCAAGTGCTTAAATAAATACAAGACAAGAATGAAAATGCCAAGTGTGTTTGCGCTGAGGGCACCATTGGAGGTTCTTGAAATGCATTAGGTCCTCTTCAGTGTGTGGAAAAGAAGTGGCTGTTATTCTTTTTTTTTTATAGACTGTGAAAAAAAAACAAATTAAAACTTCTGTAAAGAAGCGCTGTTTTTCTGTAATATAAGATTTGTTCTGCTTTATTCTGAACTTTTGACTTAAGTTTGGATTGTGGAGTTTTCCTCTTCTCTCCCACTCATTTCCTACCTGTTCTGTATTTATTAATTCATCCTGCAGCGAGCTTTCACTCTTTTTTTTTTTGTTGCCACTGCATGATTTACCTTATCCTTCACTAAAACAGCATATGGCTCATATGCATACTTCCTCTTCCCTTCTCCAACACCTCATTTCATTTCCTTTTTGTCTTTCTGTTTCTTTCCTTGCTGATACCTCTCAGGTGTGCACATACCTATGAGTCCTGTGTAGGCGAGGAGACAGGCCCCGTAGTTTCCTTGCTTGCAGCCATTGGCAGACATTTCAGAGGGTTCACAGTCGTACTGAAACTGTGCCAGTCGAGACCTACAGAAACAACAAGCAACAACTGGTGAGACAAACAAACACACCCTGGTACTGTTAAATGTAAAAGTTATCCGGTTCTTTTATATGCATCCTGTCTAATGTAACTTTTCATTTAATGAAGAGTTTCCCTCTGACATAAAGAAATATTGTTGCCACTGGTTAAGACTGAAAGCATTGGACTGTAATGTGAAAGTGATAGAAAGAGTAATATATTTCATCCCCCAGACCTGGGATCATTAGTAAAGCCCTCTGAGTGTAATGGGGCTGTGAAAAATAATGGCCATGACCAGAGATAGCAATGAGCGATAACTCTGATCCATCTGGCTCTTTATCTGCGCTAAATATTTAATGTGTTATTCCAACAGGCTCTCTGGGGTGTTCTAACCAATGGTGGTAGAAAGCTTTAGGGTAAAACAGCGGGCCATTTTGCTGATTGAATGGCTGTTTATTTGGTTTCAAAGGGACCTAATACCGAACAAGTCTGGCCCAAAATGGGTAAGGTGAGTTTATGTAAAATCTATATCCAAGGAATACTTAAACATGCCGGGAACGATGAAACATTGGCTTTGTGGATGTGCTATACCTTGAGAAAAGAGCTGGATCATTAGGCACACAAAAATGCGGATCATACTTTAGCGATATGTTATTTTACGCATAAGAGACCGTATCTCTGTGAGTAATAACTTTAATATGCTTTAAAGTAGAGAGAAAGGCACACACTGAAATAAATGGGAAGCAATTATAAGCCTTCTGTTGAGGTCAGTTCTTACCTGCACACATAGTCAGCATTGCAGATCCTCATCTGCGTTATGCAGTTTGGTTTTTCCCCACTTTCATAAGAGCAGCTGGGTACGATAGTCTGCCTCCTACGCTCTGCACAAGCTGTATCCGTGCACGGGCAGAAGAGCAGTTCATGGGTGTAGTCTGCAGGGACTCGGTCAAAGAACCTGCGCAGGGCCTTGTTGCACTTTGGCCGGTTGCACAGGCCAGACTTGGCAGTGGGTTTGATACAAGCAGAGACATATTCTGTGCGTAGCTTTTGGCACAAGTCATCCACGTTGCAAGCCTTCGCTGCATCCAGGCAGCGGTTCACAGTTGTCATGCCAACATCAGAATCTGTCGATGGGAGAAATAAAGTAGTCAAAAAATAGCAGCGGAGCAATAGAGGGTCATGTCTATAGGATACGGAGCACATCTGGTCTGTTTATGTGATTTATAGCGGACTTTTAACTTGCAAAACACTCAAATGTTTTGTAAACTAATCTGGAGTTAAAGACCTCTCAATGAGGTTGTGTGGAAATTAATAGGTGATGTTTTCCTAAGTACCAGGATCACAAAATGAGTTTCAGGAGAGGAGTAAGGTCTGTTGTTTTGCTATAAAAGAGATCATTTCAAGGCCATAACTACTGAATTTCTTGTTTACAGTTTTATAACAGGTCTTTATCCTTTTAATTAATATTCATTAGCCTCCATAGTAGAACTGCAAATGGCAATAACCAGCTTTTGACTTCAATCAAAACTTGAATTTGAAGTAAAATTCAATTGGGAATAAATTCTGCTCCGATTTCAGTGTTTTGATCTTTTCTTGAAACGACTTTGTTTGTGACAATTTCCACCTGTTTTGCATCAAAAGTTGATTTGTTCCTGGTTTTTTCTGCAAAAGAAAACCAATTTGCTTATTACTTTTCTTATAAGAGAAATGTCTGCAAAGAAATTACAAATTGACCTCGCTCGAAAACCCGTCAGCGATGCCATTGTTTGTTGAGTGATCTATTGACTTCTTTATTCCACAGTTAGAGCGGCGTCTGTCCGCTGTGTTGCAGGTCCTTCACTGTCCTTCACTTGTCCATCAAATGTGCATCAATACTTTGGTACTTTTGCTATGACTCCATTTCCTTTATTACAAGGTTATTTCGTATATTATAAAGAATAGTTCACGCAGTCAGAGCTGGTTTTTATCAAACCCTGGAAACTGGTTTATATAACCTCAGAAAGTGTCAATGTGAGAGCTTCTCAACAAAAGTTCACTCCCACTTTAATAATATGTGTTGCAGCACCCTGTGTCACCTGTTATTGATTATTGTAGCTATCATATATTACTCTGACGCAATAGATGAGTCATTTTGTTCCCTGGTGATAACTTTTTCCTCCGACGTCTCTGACTGCTGTGTTTATTGAGTTATGCACTGGAGCATGAGAGGGAAATACAGACACTGATTAAAAGAAAAAATAATCACTTCAGTGAATATTCGCCGTCACCACCAGAAGATGAGTGTTGCTAATTTTGCTTGTGTGAATCTAATCTTGCTACAGACCCTGGGAAGCCTCGATGTCCTCGATGTGGCAGTTTCTGAATGAACCCCGTTGTTTACATGTTGCCTTGGTAACGAGCAGTAACAGGCTGCCCTCTTTAAACTGTTTGCTTTAGCAATGAGTCAGCGGTTTTCCCTCGGAGCTGTGGGATCTCATGAAATATGACGCGGAGGATTAATGGAGTCAAGACAAACAAACAAGCATGAATGAGTTGAGGTCTCACCTTATTCACCGTCTTGTTCTATTATGATGATGCAAATTCCATCTACTGCTAGAGTAAGCCATGTGCAGTGATTCCTAATGTATGGTATTGATTATTACAGAGATTTTGATCATCCAGCACAGCCCAATACAGGGACTCCAGAACAGCAATATATCACTGCTTTATTTTTCTTTCTTTATCTTACTGTTTGTTGAAAAAACTACCTTCATCCATTCATCATAAGCTGTCTCACCTACACCTCTGCTCTCAAGGATTTATCTTTTTTTTTCTTTTACCATATTTTAATTAGCCTGTTATATTCGTGGTGCACAGAAAGATCCAAAGTAAACATGAAGTGTTGCTCCTTGGCTAACACGTCAGAGGAAACATGTCAGAGAAGTGTTTCTGTGAATGTTTGCAGAACTTTAGGTGCTTTAAGGGTGGCAGTAGCTCAGGAGGTAGAGCGGTCGTCCAATAACTGGAAGGTTGGCGGTTCGATTCCCCTCTATCCCAAGTCTGTCCGTTGTGTCCTTGGGCAAGACACTTAACCCACCTTGTTCCCAGTGTGTGTCCTCCACTGGTGTATGATTGTGAGTGTTGTGTGGTGGTGGCAGCCATGTTTCCGTCAGTCTGCCCCAGGGCAGCTGTGACTACTAAGGAAGTTTACCACCACCAGGGTGTGACTGTGTGAGCGAATGGATGATGTATCCAATGTAAAGCGCTTTGAGGGTCTCTGATAAAGCGCTGTATGAAATCTGATGCATTATTATTTATCTTGTGGCTGACACTCAAAACAAGTTCATATTGGTCGGTAAGCAGGGGGAGATTCTCCTCATCTGCCCAATCATCAATATTTTAATGAAACACGGGGAAAAAAAGCAAAAAAGAAAAACTTTTGAAATACTTTTTGCAATTTATATCCAAAATGTATATTCTTCTCAGAGGTTGTCTCGCTGTAATCAGTTCTGTGAAAATGAATATTCCCTTTAGCTTTTTGCTGCAGTTGAGCAATGTGAGAATTAGGGCTGCGGTAATCATTCATTTTACTAATCCATTATTAAATTGTTTCCACCGTTCATTAATAGAGTAATTGAATAAGAAATCTGAGTGCTCAGGAATTTTTTTTATTACATATATATTTTTGGCCTGTTGTTACATGAGCTTGCTCAGGTGTTCATAGTGTTATGGCTCATCAGTGCGATAACATATCAGTGGTGTGGTGTAATTTCTGTCCACTGAGATCCTTTTAACTTTAAGTAGAGGCATCAGTGGGGTCATAGTTTAAAAAGACTTTAAGGAAGGGGAATTGTGCTTTTTTTAGACTCTACACTTTCTGTCTGAAACCTCTTTAAGAGCTTCATATGATTTGGGATAGAAAGAAAAGTCTTGTGTTGTGTTGGTGTAATAAAATACCATTATTTCAGCCTCCATCTGAAACGCTTTGCTTTAGCTGCTGTGCCGGAAGCTTAGATGAACCAGTAAGGAGAGCATAATGCAATGACCTTGTTAGTTTTTATTGACTGTTCTGTGAGATCTCGTGTGATTTCCCAACAAACCATTTTGAGCAGTCTACATCACTATCCTAGGATTATGACAACATACATTTACCTCACAATTGGAACATTTGCATACCCTTAGTATGGACACCAAACATCGTAACTTTGCGTTTTTTATTGTAAAAATGGAAAAGCATAATTCCCCTGTCAGAGAACACTGATGCATTCATGTAGAATTGCAAATTTGCAGGGTCACATTTAAAATCAAAATCCTGGTTCACTCGGTGGACTCCATGCAAACACTGGATGGTTCCAGTTGAGGTTTTGCAATGTCAACAACCCACCAAACATCAGATGTCAAAGAGACGTGCAGATCAAGTCAATATTGGGTCGGTCCGTCAAAGACCACATCTAAATGTCGACGTCCAAATTGGACCTTTTTTAGACGTCGCTCTGACGTTTAGAATTTGGACGTCATCTGAAGACCAAATCTAGATGTCAGCACAACGTACAAAATGGATCCAAGATTTAGACGTCATTGTTGGACCTCTTTTAGACGTTGAAATGACATCCACATTTGTATCTCATCGTCGAAAAAATACGTTGAATAGATGTCTTTTCGACGTCGCATTGCGCAGTGGGAAAGTTCTTTTGTCAGTTTTTCAGACGCACTTCATTATGTTTCTCTTTTATCGTAACTTTCTGCTGGGGTGCTCTATTATCTTCTTTATTCTTGTTCTCCCTGATTTGAATCTGCACATTGGATCCACATTACACCCACAGAAGAATCTCGGGCATTGATCCACAGGAATAACCATCATATGCACATTGTGAACAGTGTAGCTGTCCTGATTTTAACTTGGTCTTCAAGCAAATAACTTTTCATGAGGCGTTTTAGTACCAAAGTTGAAATTGTTGGAGGGATTGTTTCAGCCCCAGCTGGATTGATTTTCTCTGATAGTCATAGATTATGTGATAAAACTATCTGGAAAATGAGCGATGGCATTTTTTTAACAACATGAAAGAAACTGTGTCTTCCTGGATACTGGGGTTAAACTTTAGAGAAGGGAGGAGGACCTCTTTTGGTGTTGGGTGTACTTCCTGGGAAAATCAGTTGACAGGTGCATAAAAAGGTAAGAATGTTTGAAATAAGTGAAGGTTGATGAAATGGGTAAACTTGCCTGCAGTGATAGAGGCTAAGCGGACATAGTCGTAATCCTTCTGCACTGTCTCGTAGGGATAATTCTCCACCAGTTTGAGCCCTAGAAAAAAGGAAGAAAGAGGTGGAAAATATTTATTTGGATCTTGAACAATGTCACAACAAATGATCCGTATTCAATGATTTTGGAATAAGATGAGAACAAGATTAGATTTGTAAGATTTATGGGCAGTTAAAGCTTTTTTGCAGCTTTTTCAGTATGAACTGACCGTGTATGATGGACTGATGGAGGCTCCAGTAGATGCTAAGGCAATTCTTCTCCTTCTTCATGCCTCGTTTGCACTGGCAGCCATGTAAGGGGCTGGACAGCAGGGCTGACACTGCGTTGGCACACTGACTCCTGGCACCAGGACCGAGCTTCATGCTGCCATTGCCGGCCACACACTGCCGCAAAGTTCGCAGACGTGGACTGCAAGTCTCATCACTCGAGCATGAGTCTCCGGCCACCAAGCAGTCTCTCCCAGCCAGTATGACCTCTAACAGCGCTGTAAGAGAGGAGATCAAACCAAAACATGGAGTAGAAAGATAAGGGGATTTGTTCTGCTTCAAAAACTTCCATCAGGCATCTTCAGTTCAATGACGAGGTATCAAAGGAATGAGTTTTTGCCCCACACTGTTTCAAGGATAAGGAAGAATTACTTAACAGTCAGCTCCAAACAAGTAACTCATTAAAAAAAGCTGATATGGAGTACAGAAGCAGGGATATTTACTGAAATGTCTCTATCAGCAGTATTACAGGATCAGTTTTGCCCTAATGCCAAAAAACATGACAAAACAACTATAATTAGATCAATATTTCACCTCATCGATAATACATAAACACACCTTTGAATGGTAGTAGCTGGGTGGTGGCTACATGTATAAATACATATATTAACTGTGTGTTGCTAGGTAACTGTCCAGCTTCAATCAAGATGTGGAACCAGCTGTGTAGAAAATAGAAAACTCTTTGTTAATTACTGATCATTTCAATAATTAGCCTGTAGAGGTGTTGTCTAAAAACAGTATCACACTCAACATCAGAGTAAGAGTTAATTTTTGATGCATTTAAAAAAAAATGACAGGCTGTCCATCATTTTGACAGACTCAAGGGCGATCCATCCTAACATTTGGTAATTCTCACACAGTGCCGCCAACATACAATGTCACTATTTGACACACAGCACTTGTTAGCACAGCTGTGTTCCTGACACAGCTGTGTCTCTCATCATCCCCAACGCACATGTACTTGGGAGGCTGTTGGGTAAATAAGTGAGGCGACTATGTGATGACCAACAAAACTGAAGTGTGCGTAAAACCTTCACGGCTTATTACCAACAGTAAACTTTGTTTAATGTAAGTTATGTTTGGACAAAACGACAGCAAGGCGACTTATGATATCAGTGTGTGAGTGACGAACTCTTTATGTCTTAAAGCTTTTACACAAGAAAATGTTAGCAGACTTGAAGTGCGCCACATTAACCGAGAGTTAGGGATAGGAATTGATAAGATTTTATCGATTCAATTCTTTAATGATTTCCTTATAAATGCCTTTCTTTGATTTAAAAAAAAAAGGTAGACTTTAGGTTTTCATTGTTAACTCAAAATTTTATCGAGTCTCTGATAACAGAAAAAAATGTATGTATTTGATGCCGTGCCTCGTTGTCAAATATTTAAGCATGCTGCTGGTGTTTCCACCTTTGCATGATGTCACTGCTCCACATACGTTGCACATCGCGGTGTTGTCATCTCTCTTAGTAAAATGAAGCTACGCTTTAGATCGTTTCTGCCTACTTTTCATACCGTCCGCCATGCTTTTTTTCTCTGTCTCTGTTCTTGTTCGCGTAAACTGGCACTCGCGAAACTGTTTTTCAAAGCACCCGGAAGAAAGGAATCGTTTTGGGAATCGTCAAGATAAAATGTAAATGATGTCGTTGGATTGAACCATTTGGAACCAGTTCTCAACAAGAACCGGTTCTCGATTCCCATCCCTTCTGAGAGTTATGCTGAATATCAGTACTGCTGTCATGATCTTTGCATCAGGCTTATTACTTAATCACAGTCATGTAGATATTCAGTACAACAGCACCCTCTCTCTTGAGGTCCGATTTAATCACCAAGGATTAGAGACATGATTAATAGGGCAGCATATTTTGTTTTTTTTGCATGATAGCAGCTCAACTTTTAGGAAAGCAAAATTAGTCTTTCTGTGCAACTCTTTAGCAGAACAAAAGTAGTCTTTTGACTTTGAAATGTTTTCCACCTGGTTGAACCTTATAAGCGGATCATAACTGCTTTGAAAATTACAGAGGATAACCTAACCAGTCTCTTATAACGTGGCCTGCAGGTTCAAGTAATTGTTGCTTTGTCACGGAGAGAACAGCCTCAAGGCTGACTTGCATGAAGTATTCTTACTTAAGCCTCTCAGAGTTTGGGTTGTGAAATTTTGTACTGTGAATGCATGCTAAATAAGTATGTGCTATACCCAGAAAGTAAGCGGCAGACTCATAGAAATGCTAAACCACTCTTTCTGAATACCTGACCAACCTTGTCCAGAGTGCAGCGTCACTTATACAGCATGAGTAAAGTCTACAGAGTGAGTCAGAGAAGTGGAATAACAGGCATGCAAGGACGGTTATCAGCTCCGGAAATCAACCAGTTTATACTATTTTTTTTACATCAATAAAAATCATATTTAAACCATTTTGATGTCAACTTATTTATGTCTTTACCAGGGTAATGTGATATGGTAGTTATTTAGAATCATGTCAGATGAGGCAAGACTCCCACCCAAAGCTCTTCTTTTTTTGCCATGATTACTATCACTTACTTAATAATTCACAGGATAAATGTATTGTACAAGACTTATAAATTCAGTAGTCAGAATATCAGTTATCTTTTCCCTGTTTAACCTTGTCTAGTCAAAATATTCTCTAAATGGCTTCAGATTTCTCGTGAGACATATTTGCGTAGTTTCTTTATGACAAAGTTCAATTTAAAATCATGAAGAGTCACTTTTTACAATCTGAACTTCACGTACACATCAGGAGCAAGGCCTTCGCAGAATACAGGGCTTTTATAAAACCGTAATTATACACATAAATACATGTAAAGTGCTACGATGAAATTGTGTAACATTTCACGGGAGCAGTTTCTGTCAAAGAGCTCAGGAGCTATATAACAGACAGACCCTCGCTGACTTTAACGGCTGTAGAGGTGATGAATTTTTATAAGAGAGCTGCCACTCCTCCTTTCAGTCTCTGCTCAGTTATGTTTATGGTTTTATTTTAATGCTTCTAGAAAGACTGCAGAATATTTTTATTTGTTGAGCACTTGTTTCTCTTGATATGTTTTTACTACATTGCATTTCAAGACGTTTTCTTTGTCATGTTTGTGTCTATTCTAGTCAAAAATGCTGCCATCGCTACACAAGAATGTTTTTTTTTCCTCTTTGGGGATATGCGGTGTGCTTTACTGAGGGATTGTGCGTCTCTTATCCTAACAACATATTTGTAAATGTGCCAGGCAATATGAAAAGAGGATTCAGACGGTGTAAACTTATACCTCCTCTCTTCTCTAAAGTAATGTCCCCTAACTCTGTCTGCTTACATCTAAATTTTCAATTTCATGCTGCTTTAATCTGCCTACACTTTAGATATTTCAGGGGCAAAATTTTCTCCGGCACTGTTTTGATCTTGAAATCACACACTCATGCACACACACACACACACACTGAAGAAGAAGAAAGAACGAACATATTTTCCATTTTGCCGACACTGTTCGATCAATTACATGTTCTTTCGAGGCTGGATCTGTACTCAGAGCCCTCAGCTGAATTGCATCTTGCTCACATCAGGAATCATACAAGCTCTTCTACACCATTCAGCACATGTCAGCTAAGTGCATCCAAAACAGACATGTGGATGCTAGCAGGATAAAAAGAGAGATCCGACCAATGCCAATGTCCTGGAAGGCCAGATGGTCAGTTGCAAATTCAAGGCAGAGATCCCAGGTCCTCTCTGCTTTCCTTCTATGTGTGTCAGTTTGTGCTGCCTGAGCAGAAGCTGGAATAGACACCATACATCATGAATGCAAATGAGCCGCTTGATTTGACATTTCCAATAAGCCTGTCTCAGTGTACCAGTGGGTTTAGCCAATTAACCATGTCAGTAATCAATGTGTTCTGAGGCTCAGTAAAGTCCTCAGTTTCCCTGCCACATAAATCACGGACAGATTGGCTGATCAGTTACCCTCACGCACGAACTTAATGGTCCACTTCAGGAGAGATAAAATGGAAAATGAAACTTAATGAAGTCGGCTGGAGTGTTAGTCTCTCACATACCTACAAATCAGAGAGGCAGTGGGCTAAATGATAATGTATCGATGCACTTACTGTGCATCACCTTTGTTTCAATGGTCTTTAGATTTGTAAATCATATTCAGTGTTGGATTAGAGTGGGCAGACCCACCCGGAAGAAACCGCTATTTTGGTCCGGTGTTTTGCAATTGTTTAAACACTTTCTTTTCAACCTTGTAATAATAAGGAATTTGAGATATTGAATTGAAGACGCACATGTAGACTGTATTTATAGGCCTGCGAGTTGCAGCTAAGTGCAGCAGTAGAGTCAGGTGGGGCATTTAATCTCAAGTCCCATAGTCCACATGCCAAAGTGTCCTTGGGCAAGACACTTGAGCCCACATGCATCTGCTGGCTGTGTCTAGCAGTGTGTGAATGAACTTACTCAATATCTAATGAGCACTTTCCAGAGCAGTCTCTGCCACCAGTGCATGAATATGGTGTGAATGGGTGAATGTGACATGTAATTGAAAAGCACTTTGAGTGGTCAGATGACCAAAGAAAGCGGTATATAAACACTACTTGTGTACCATTAGCGTGAGTATAGCCTCAGTGACATCACCCACTGATTTCTGAGACAAAAATGACAGTTGTCAAAATACATTTGCTGACTTGAACTTGTCACTTTCTAGGTTGCCAAACTTTTAGTCAACCTAAACAGACACAGGTGAAGCAGAGGAGGGCCACTTATCGTGTACATGTATGCTTTACTTTTATAACTGACCCCTGCATGGTGTGTACAAAACAGAAAAGACGTTTAAGATCCATGCTGTCATTTTGACCCGGGTGTTACTCAGGATTCTTGGCCTTATTGAGCCAGCCTCAAGTGGACACTCTGCAGTTTATTGCACCTCTGCATTGGTTTCATTGTATATCAACAACCAAAGTTGACCCTTGGATGCATTGTGCATTACTTCACTTGGTTTTGTTAGCCAAAAATACCTGCTGTAGATGAGCAAATATCTGGTAATTAATTTTTTGGATCAGAAATTAAATCAGTTCTACACTTCTGCTCACCTTTAATCTATGCTTTGCAGTTACTGACATTTTTTGACCATGTATTGGATGATCAAAGTCCAGTAAATAACATTTTCCAAATCCAGAGTCCTGACTCTTTAGCTGCTTAATGATGAAAATGACTTGCACATTACCTGCTGTTAGCAGTAATGTGTGACTGCTTCTATGTTTGTGTCGGTTTTTTGCAGAAAAGTCGTAACTCTGTCTCTTTTGGGTCCAACTCAAGGTTGCATTGCAGTTTTCCTGCTTTGCTGTGCTCCTTCATGCCTTTGGTGTGTCTGCTCATTCATCTAGTTTCACACTCTTAATTGCATGGCACTTTCGTGATTTAATGCTGGTGTTACATCAGTCTATTCCCATGCCTTTAGGTTTAGGGCACTGAAAACTGGAGTCAAATTCCTAGTTCCAGCACATACTTCTTCTGCTTATTTAGACTCCACATACAGCCCTCTGTTGAGGTCTGAATTGCCCCAAAGTACCCGAGTGCAGGTTTGGCAGAATGGCTAAGTCGTGTGACCAGTGACCAGAGGAGACATTTCGGCTTGATTCCAACCTGTGGAATCAAGTCTTCCCTGCATGTCAACATCCCTAACCTCTTTTACCTGCTTCATCCACTGATCTGTCCTCTTTGATTAAGGAACTACAAGTGGTTTGATAACAGATCAACTTACAGGTGGGGTTGGCAGGATTCCGTTAAAGAAGCATCTTTTTTTTGTGGTTTATATACAAAAAAGCTTTTAATATCAGTCAGTAGCTATTAGTAATTGATGACATTTGGTAATATAACGATATCGCTGTGTTCTGTTATGTCTGTGTAGTCAACATTTTAAAATTTTTGAGTGGCCCCCTTTTTCTGACTGTAAACAAAGTCGTTCTCCACCTTCCTTAACCTGGTTGGTTGTGAGGCAGACGCTGCTGTCTCGTGTTGTTAGGCACGCGCCACGTCCTCCGATAACGTTCACGAGCCCAAACAAAGTTAGCGTGCTACAACATCGGACAGTAGAAACCGACCAGAAAGTACGGAAAACGCAAGCAATAAAACAAAGTAAGTACCGGAGACTCTGACGGAATAACGGGCGCTTAAAACGGAGGTAGACCAGACAAGAGCTAAGAAGAGCTGAATTAAATTGAAACGATACGAGCGAGCAGGAGCGTCTGTTTTATGGGCAGGGCTTGCTGGAGCAGAGAGGGAGGGGAGAGGAGGAGCTGAGGGGAAAACTGGTTGGGAGGGGTAGAGTTTACATTCAAGATTTCTCCCCAAAACTGGAACTTCCTCAGATCCTGCCTACCCCACCTTTAAAAGATAATTAAATAACAAAGTTGTGTTTACCTTCGCAGTTCAGCTCTACAGTGCCAAAATGGCCAATAACCAATTACTGCAGGTCTAACAGATGTTTCTAGCACTTCTATACTTGAACTCATAATTTCCTTCTAACCTCATTGTGCTTCTTACGCCACTATTTTTAACCTTTAATTGTAAGATAGTCATATTTAACTGTAACTCATGATTCTTCTGTATTTAAATGTTTGTAACTTTGAGAGTAAGAACTTCATTTCTTAACTTAATTTATCCTTGAGGGGAAATTCAATGTACATGTACCACAACCCATCCCTTCCCATTTATCACACATTAGAGGGTTAAAAAAAAAAAGAGCTCGAACAAACTATTTACTGAGAGAACAGTGACATTACTCACAAATCATCAAAATGTGAAGGGTCAGGACTGGCACACTGTCATAAAATTTCACAGTTTATTGTATTGGTATTGATCTCCCGCAGGTATTGACCTACTCCCTATGATTCTGACAACAAGATAAGGTCCATCATATTATCTTTAAGTGTCCTATACCCATTGTTGGCACTATCAGGCATTTTATAAGAGCTGAACATTTAGATTACTTGCACAAGTGAAGAGGAATTGTGCTTCCAGTGTATGACTCATCTTTGCAAAGATATGGAGTGTAATTTTCTTTCAAAACTGTAGCTCTCTGATACTGTGTAAAAGACAACATTATTTGCTTTTATGGCACAAAATTAGCAATTTCCAACATCAAAGCAGAGGAGAACTGGATCTGGCAAAATGAGACAAGAAAATATCCATCTGCATTCAAAATGAAGTCAAGCCAGCTCAACAAGCATACACCATGTTAACATCAAACAAACAGAGCATGGAGAACGAGAAAAGCACAGTAATTTTAGCTTCAAAGTTTTGTAAGAGAAAAAATAACCCTGATCATCAAAATGTGCCAGGTAACTTGTACACGATACGCATAATGTTTTTGAGTTTCTTAGAAAAAAAATCTCTTGTTTGATCCTTTTCCAGCAGAAGCTCCTTTTAAAAGTTGCCTGTAAGGATTCTACATAACGCCTTTACTCAGGATTTACACGTGCATAAGCAAAATGCCTCAAACAACAATTCAGTCAGATACAAAAGATTTTTCCACCGCAAATGAATATTTATTTATAGCACGTCAGAAGTGACAGTTATTGATCGTCACACAGAAACATCTCTTGGAAATGCAAAATACAAACGCAACAAAAGACTAAAAAATACCATCAGAAGCAGGGAGAAAATAACTAAAAGAGGACGCTCTAGTCCCATCAGCAAACAGGAGTAAACAACCCCTATCAGCTGCACCATAGAGGCTCTGAAGTGACAGAGTTTGTGTAATAAAAACTGCCTTACTGACTGATTCAAGTGTGATTGATAACTGCGGATGACAGCTGAGCATCTTGACACACAAATGAATAAAATGCTTTTATAGATCACCTATTAATCTATTTTTATGCAGTTCCAGTTGGTAGCTTGAAGAAGTGAGGTATATTCCCATGTGAGTTTAAGTCCATTACATTCTTTAGCCACTTATTCAATGTTTCCAGCAGATTTTTCCTGTCCTAAAAGATAGTCGGTGCACAAAGGTAGATCAGACTCTAGCTTTACTGACTTTCCGTAAAAATCAAGTCGGAAATGTCTGCTGTAAGAAGATCACGTTTACATCGTTTGTGATTAGCTTGTTGAAGGCTGATCCACGTAACACAAATGAGGCCTAACTGGAGGAGATTATTATACAACAAAACAGTATACAACGGGTTACACAGAATGCGCCTATTCATCTGTATACAAGCCTATAGTCATGATCAAGTTATTATTATTTCTTACAAGTGTGCTCCAGAGAAAACAAAAGGTGAATAATGAGATGGCTTTTGTTAAATGGTAAACAAGGTCCATGCTGTTCATCAGTGGTGATAGCTTTCAAATTAAACAATGGCTTTTTTGCAGGCAAATCTGTTTTGAACCATGAAGTGAGCTAGTGGCTGAAAAGCTGAAGGTCACACTTACGCACACTTCGAGCTCCTTATTCATCTGTTCCACCTCTCAATATTGTGAGGTAAAACCTTGTACATAATGTGCATATGATTAGAATCAGATGCCGCAGTTATTACTGTGTTGTAGTTACACAGACTTTACATTCAGTTTTAGTCAGTTGATCCATGAGTGAGTTCACAAAACTTGAAAAGTAAAATTTCAAATAGTAAATAAAAAAGAGGGTTACACATGCAGATCAGTAACTCGTTGGAGTAACCTCCAATTATCCACCACATCCGGAACAGTAGCCATTATCATGAGAACTTACAAGAACTTACAAATTCACGTGCAATCGCGTGATATCGAGTTGTCTCTATAGCCACATATCCATATAAGCAGTAGATTGTGTCCTGCCAGAGGAGGAAATCTACTTCTAGACTTCTAGAATCTGCATTTCCCCATCCACGGTGTCATCGGGGTGAAATGCTGTCTGAAAACTTTTCACTTGTCTGTTTGCATGGTGTGAAGTATGAGCCGCCTTTTCGTAGCCGTTCCGGATGCTGTGGAGATTGGGGGTAAGAGTGATCTCCGGTTGGTCTTCAGTTTATTTGTAGATTTGATGAGGGCCTACTTGGGGAACCCACATTTTTTCAGGACTTCCCAGAGGTGTTTGGGTTTCTTTAAGTTCACGGAAGCTTCTTTCCTCCTCCACCCGGACTACACAATCCAGACGGCCAGGCTTGTCTGTTTTTTACATCCTCATCCTCATAAACTTGATGTAGTCTTCAACAGAGTGGATGTGAGTGGTAAAGGCTTCTACTTCACTGGATGTAATCTTGACCCAGGTGTCGTCCACATATCTAAACCAGTGGCTTGGAATGGTTCCAAAGAAACAGGAAGCCATCTTTGTTAAACTGTAGAAACCATCCTTGAAAAGAGGTGGCGGTTTAAGACACTTCTTATCCTCCACTTACAATTCAGCCTTGGATTCGCTTTCGTTGTGGATCACAGGCTTCAACACTATGCAAATCAGGCAAACCTGAAGAGACCCAGGAGGGAAACCAGGTCAACTACCTTGCTAACAACTCTCAGGTGACCACACACCCCTTTAACAGCTGGATGACCAACAAAGGCTATGAATTTCCAACTTTGGCCCCAGTCACTCTACAACTGAAGAAGCCTTTTTGAAGAAAGGCCAAACGTCTTCAAGAACCTCAAGCACGAATGAATGAATTTCTCTTTCAGGATCAATAATGTTCTTGTATTGTATTGTAAGCAAGTACATCTGCCCTTTCAAAAAAGAATTGGGTTCTTGTCTGTGTTCACACACTTCCTTCCCCCCTTGCCTCTGATAGTGACCCTGTTAGTCCCACAGAATCAAAAAAAGTCTATACATGCCCCTGCAAACATGGACAAAATCACAGCATAGGAGATATACACTCTCAGCCAGCATAAAGCATTACCAGACACTCAGCTCCCAGACTAACAATACAGCATGTGGCTGTGATGAATCGTCACAGCCTCTTTATTATACTGCATCTGTCCCCTTAGGCATTTACATTGACAAATATCTCATACTAATCACTCTTCATTGGAAAAGGCAAGAGCAAACGTTTGCCAGATCAGACGATGTTGTTATTCTCCTCCAACATCTTCATTTCACTCTTTTCTCTGTTTATTTTCCACTTATTTCAGAATTTCACATTCACAAACGGATTGATCCCACAATGCAGAGCTGCTGTGTACAGGAAGTGAAGATTTTATCTGAATGATGGTTGTTATCCATGACTGAAATCTCTGCTACGCCAAAGCATCTGTGTCAGTCTGATCTAAGAGCTCAATTCTGCAAGACGGACATGCTGAAGTCTAGCATCATTAGTTTGTTTGGCTCCTTTGAGTAAAAGCTGATTTGTAATGTGTGTCTCATTGTATTACCTTTTTCAGAACAACTTTTAGTCCTTATATGTGAACACTAATGGACGGGGAGTTTAGAGTCAAAGGAGCATTCAGTAATGTACGGCAGCAATCAACCTCTATAGGCAACCACTTTGACAGGCCTCAAGCAGTAAAGTTCAGTGAAAGTCAGAGGACTATCGCACCGTAAGGATGAAGTGTGCACAAAGGATTTTAGGTCAAGACCAAAAGGGCAAGCATGGACAAACTGACCCCACCACCAGAAGTGAAAAATTTCAATTGAAGCATCAAAATCAGTTCTTGTGGATTTTTATATTTTCGACAGCGCTGCTCCGGCAGGTTATATAGGAGCTATTCAGCTTTCAAACGATATGCCGTATGTGATATGTCCTCAGAAAAATACCATATGAACATATAGACAACAGGAACCATATGATTTTCACCGGAGTGAGTTTTTAACTGACTGCTGTGCCCTGATGCATTAACATTGTAAACACTGACACCTCCTCTAATGTTATGCTCACATGTAACACGAAGAAAATAATTTTAGTTTGGTGCGAATATGACATAGAACAGGAGGCCAGCTGCTGATGTGCACCGACCATTATCACTTTTAACCCAACATTGAGACTTTGTTGGTGTGAACTCATAACGCCTGTGTACCAAAAAAAAAACAAAGTTAATGTTGAAACTGGTGATGACAGTATTGCAAAACCTATATTGCGGCAGACTTTGGCGGACTGTGACACCATTGACGGTATGAAACCTGAACACCATCCACCAATACCGATTAGGTCGAGAAAAACAACATTGAGGTATGAAATGTTTGTGCAGCACCATTAGTTCAGGTAATGTGCAATAGCCTTGGGTATGTTTCTAAACTTAGAATTGCCTCTGTGTTCTCAACATTATTGCTTTTAATAAATCTGGTCTTTTGCCTTTTTCATTATCACATCTTTTCATTTCCTCTCGTTAGTAAAGCACTTTGTATACTCACATGGATGTAAGAATATGAATAATTATCACTGTGGCGTCAACCTTATTGCTCATTTGATGTTTAATGACTATCACTGTCTGATGTTACAGGTGGATGTGCAATAAATTAATTATACTTTTTGTTTTGTAAAAAGTTGCATCATTAATCATCAGATCTAGAGCAACAGATGTGTGGAAAGTCAAAGCAATAATTTCACAATGATTGTCTGTTTAAGCACATTATTAATCATCTTGTATGGAGAAACTACATTATTCGTTGTCTTTTTGCAGTCATAGCTCTGTATCTTAACTAAGAGGCAAGTTTTCCCAGATTGTTTCTACTGTTTGTTCCAGGAATGGCACAAATAAAGGAGTAGTTCATTGACGTTTTCAGAAGCAAAGACACCTGAAAATAGTGAGAAGTTTTGATGTTTTGGGTTAACAGCCATGATGTAGCTGTTTGCGCTCACCACTTCACTCAGTACGTTTACGTGACACTCGAGAAAACAGAATTATTGCCTTACTCCGATTAAGACCCGACAACTGAAGTGTATGTAAACACCTTAGTCCGCTATTATCGGAGTTTGGGAACTCTGGTTGGAGTCGGAGAACTCAGATTAAGACACCCAGATAATGCAATTGGAATTCGATTTTCTCTACCATGTAACCAGCGTAGTCGGAGAATGATTGGACAATGCATGTGCGCTTGCGCCACTCCCCCGTAACTCTGATACAAAAACACCAGAGAAGAGGAGTAGCGTGCATCTCATCTGCAGAAAAAGTAGCGCGTACATCATGTTCGACAAAAACGACGCTGTACGATGCTCCATCTTCTTGCTTGAAAATACTCAGCAGCAGTTGTAGCCACTTCTGACGCCTGGCACAGACCTGCTGTTGTTGTTGGATCAACGGGAAACAGCGCCGCTGAAAAGGCCCATATCGCCCCCTAGTTTTGGGGAGGAGGACACGCTCACATCAAAAATTCGATTTTCTCAGTTGCATGTCTATGCGGACAAGGAGAGAAGTCTGATTCGGCAAAAAAAAACGAATTATGAGCTTAGTCCGATTAGGCTGTGCATGTAAACGCACTGAGTGATCTTTTTTGTGAACAAAAGCCAGGACAAGCTGGATTTGCATATTAACTGTTGCTAATACCTGACTTTGTTAAGACCTTAAAGGCTCACAACCACAATCTGTAAGTAACATTATAACAGAAGCTAATGTAATGACAGCGAATGTTTTAGATGGAGGGCTAGGTAGAGGGCTAAATGGGCACCCAGATGCTTTTGGAAAGGCTTGACTTTTGGGTTATTTGTGACAGAAAAAGAACTGTGAAATCTAAGACCCACAACCTCTATTTTATATCACTGGGGCAAAAAAAAGGAGCCAAATCAAAACATTCCAGACAAAAGCTAAAATGGCTGAAATTAGGGTAATCATGAGCACAAATGTTCTGAGCTTAAAATGATGCCCAGCAACTTTTAGGTGTTCTTGACTGGTGTTATGGCAGGTCTACTTGAGTAGTCTTTGGGGGCCTAACTCGTGTTTTATTTAGAGAAAGTGACATTATGTAAATCCTGCTGCTGCATATTAATTTCAGTGCATGAGATGGCTAAAAAACACATAACCAGTGCAATAACTCAGCGGCAATAATGGCAACATTTTGACTCCGTTTGTACAAATGGGGGGAAAGGATCAGCATCCTTATCTACACACATTCAGTTGTTTAATCACAAAGACTTTAACTGACTCAAAACCTAATAATTAGGATAATACAAAGTTTAGTTTACAGACAGTTTTAATTTAACAGGAATTGTTTTAATACTGGATATCACTCCCTGACGAGACTTTGTGCATTTACCCACATCAAATGCGACTATTAGCAGTTGTTTGTTTTCTCTTTTTTTTTTAATTGGACTGTTTTCAACATGGTTATCATTAAATGATGCCAGTATTAATGTAGTCTAATTGATATGCTGGCAAGTAACGCTATGTAGAGGAGGATTTATTATTAGCAGCACAGCTATAGCTGCGAATCCTCACATCAGGGTTCTATAAAAAAAGCTGCTAATTGTTTTGTGAGTTGGCTCATCAGGTTAGTGAACCTTTTGTTGGTTAAACACAGAAATACTGGAGGAGTCTGCTTTTGCTCATTTCTCGGTGGGAGCTGTGTGAAAAATCTCGTGCGTCATATTGTTGTGCCCTTCTCCCTTTCATTGTCATTAAAATGAAACTGAGGTTAAACTCTCCTTATGTACGTATAAAGGCTCCTCCTCAGGTGCTCTCTTAGAGGTCTGTGAACCACCTGAGGCTTACATCACTGGCGGGCTGAAGCAGTCATAAAGCCCCGGGCTGATTGCCAAAATTCTAACCAGCACCAACACCACCCACCTGCTGACACACACACACACGCACACAGATGAGCAAACAAGTCCAGAGATTGTTTTGTTTCTGCAAGGCTGTTAGAAAGAACACAGGACAAAGCGCACAGTCACTGCACTGCAAATACATAATTAATGGCAGACAACAGATTTCCTGGAGCAGCACTAGATTCTGTCACAGTGAGTTGTGGGGTTTTCAGATAGCAGATCCCAACACTAATAATCAATGATTCTCCCATGCACAAAAAAGTAGAAAAAATGCTCAATTGCTACCATGGGGCCATAATTCCGCGTTCTATATTTGTGTCGGCCGTGTTGTGTTAGGACCTTTAGTCTGGCTGAAACTGGACTTTTAAGAAACACATTAGCTGGACTGAAATGACACTAATTAAAGCTTCTGACAGTCACAGTCACGTACCGAGGTATTGCGGTTGAGGACAGATTTTCTCCGTCACAGTTCAATCAAAATAAAACTGCCATGGTTGTTATTGGCCTCAGTAAAGGAGTGAATTGAAAGAGGGTTTGCTGTGAGGACAGTTGGCATCCTAAACATGGACCTGATTCAGACTAGAAGTCTATAGTGACAAGTCTTCGGTGTTCCAATCCAGGTCAAATCTGAGTTGCCAAAGAAGAATCAGAGTTTGGTCTGAGGCCCCATTATTTAAGTTGAGTCCTCATCATCATTACCATCATTATTAATTATAAAGGAGGGCCAGTGTTTCAGTCAAAACTCTTTGTATAAAGCTGGATTTACTGCGTGGGATCATATGGGTGAGTTGAAAACACATTTCATTTTGTATTAGTATTAAATTCTGGCTGATCCCGCTGGCGTGTCTGGAGTTTTGAAGTTATAGCTGCTGTTATCCCACTGGATTAAAATTGATGAGTGTGTCTCCCATTTACAAGAGCTGTGGTGCACATTCAAGCACGACACAATATCTCAAAAATACCTTCAGTCCACATGCTGTTGATTTGAGTTTTAGATGAAACTCAGCTGACCATGATCAGCAGATCAAGAAGACCATCTACTTTCAATAACAGAGACAAAACACTCCGGAGGTCTTTTTTTGGTATGCTGGACAGTATCACTCTGTCTGACAGAGAAAAGCAACATTTGATCAATTTCCCCACATGTGGCTAAAGCAAAGGTTGTTATTATTGAGGAGTTAGACTGATGGAGTAAATTTCTTCTTGTGTATGTCTCTGTGTGTGTTCCAATTAGTATGTCTCTTTGAAGGCCTGTCAAGTTCAGTCTCAATGTCATTCAACAAAGAAGCTTTATCTTCACTTGGACATTGTGACAGTATGAGTGCATGGGTTATTGGTATGTAATGGCAGCAATTAACTTATCAGCATATCGTCATTTGCTTGCAAAGAGGCGAGCAAGTCACACATCTTTTTTTTTTTTCCTCTCAGTGTGAGAGTGTTGGCTGTCTGCAGTACAGAGCAAGACCAGTGCCAGGGCATACAAATGACATCAGGAGGTAAAACGCCTAACTTCCTTTTAAAAAAAAAGTGTTGCTTCATCTGTGAAATATTACCAACATGTCATACTTGTGAGATGCAGTGAGATTCCTCAGGCCTAAACCTTGTTAGCGTTTCTGTTTTTCACTCTCCCATTGATATTGGCACCACCTCTGTATAGGTGTTCACAAAGCTCCTGCCCCACCTCAAAGTTGCTGTTATGTCCATCAAGCTAGTCCAGACCTGGCTGCAGGAATATATGAGAGGGAGGGCATTACATTTTTTCAGGGGGGCACACTTATTTAAACCTCTATTTTATCTGCTTCAGGCATAACGGCAGCTCCGTGGCTACTCCTACAGTGTTGAAATGTTATTTTCTCTCAGTAACAAGAGGCATTTCATCTTTAAATATATAGAAATAAAACAAACAAAATACAGTAGTGACTGTAGTGCTGTGTTAGTTTATTATCAATAAAACAGAGGTCAGGGGCATTCAGAGAGCAGGGCCACACAGCTCTACTTCCACTTCAACAGCAGCTAGGGACCTTAGCTGGCTTTGGTAGTTAACTTCCTAAGACTGGAGCTGTGTGGCACTGCCGCTACTTCCTGCTTGCTCCCGTCAGTGTTTGTCGTCCTTTTTTGACGAACAAAAAAACCTCTTATATCCATTTTTTCGATGCTTACCGCCTTCCATCTCCCGCCGCACCGAGTCCGTCTATGAATATTCGAACTTAAACTCGGTAAGCGGCCCGCCCCCCTTTACCTGTAATTGGCTAACACGTTGCCTTCGATCGACTGGATTGGTTGGATTGATTGACATGTCAAGATAGATGGTTTTTACTGAAGATGACTACTCTGCTGGAAAATAACAAACCCCAAATCAAATTAATAGAAAGTTTTGCTGTTAGTCCAGAGCTGGCACAGCTGACTCGGTGGGCGGGCACAGCCTTCCAATGCCCGCCCATGCCGCTGGGTCTGAGCTAGTCTCTCTAGCATCGTACATGTGTCCTCAACAAATACAACGGTGTGAGCTACTCCTCTAATTAGTTCTACTACATCTCAGAGGGAAAGTTCAACATAAACGATGAAGAAAATGCTACAAAAACTCAATATCCGTGTACCCCTCACTTCATAATAAGGAAAAATCCCTCACATATTTACAGTCATGTTCATACTGCCCCATTTGTCACACAGCAAATCTTTGCACAGAACAGAGTAGAAGAAGCTGCATCAGTGTCAAATTTCTGTTTTCAAATCTGACGCTTTTTTTTCTTATAACTCTTATTAGAAAATGAAACATAGTCTTTTTTGTTCCTGATAGATTTTCAACATGCATGAATATATCTGTTCATCATAACCATATTAACCATAATCATAGTGTATTGGGAACTTCATGAAGTTTCCAAGGAAGCCACTCAAATCCTCACCAGAAGAGCCACTAAACTGAAAAATGACATCACTGCTACAGATCATTGAATTAATAAGAGAAACACTCTCATCTGAACACAATAGTACCCGGGTAGTATACTGTGTATTTTGTGTAGATCTTATTTATCTTTAAGTAACTTGTAGCATTGAAAAGGGATTAATGGAAAGCACCACATCCTGAGTGATTTGGATAGTACATGGGACAACAAGTTGTGTACAAGTTTAATGATCCCAGCAGGCTAACTCATGTTATTTGTGCCAAACTCTTTGCATATTTTATTTCTAAAAAGATTACATGAAATCAACCAACTTCAGTTACCAGAGCTGTGCTACCATGAGCACTTTGTCAGCCAAGAAGACTCCTCTCTTTAGAGGGAACTGAACTCTATGCCTTCTGGTCATGAGAGAGCTGAGCAGAAAATACTTTGCCAACAGTTCACCAGCCAGAAGTTTAGTTTCTCCAAACCAAGGCTCGTAGCTCCGAGTCTCTTACATTACTAACAGTGGGAGTCATTGATTGGTTTCAGTGCTGCAAAGAGGGAGTATCTGCCTGTAGCAGGGATTGAACTCTCAACCTTTTGGTGCAATAAGGACCAGCCATTTGCTGAACCATTCAGGTGTTCCAGGAAAGCATATCATGAATCTACATTTGGTGTTTCCTTCACAGAGGCCACCTAAGTACATTAACCACCCAGTAAAAGCTCATTCTAATTATCCACCGAGGCTCCTGAGGGATCAATGCCATCTGTGATTTATTGATTAGCGGACACTCCCTTCACTCTAACCCACATGTCCCTGTACGTGCTCCTGTTCATAGCCAAATTGATGTTTGAGGTGTCCTCTGGTACAATAAGTATTTCACGAATGCCATTGTTGTACTGAGCGCTGCAGGTTGGATTTAGTGTTTGTCCTTGCTACACTGCTTTCAAAAGTTGCATTAGATTGAAGAGTTTGCGAGTTAAATTGTGTTTTGGTAACCTTGTAAGCCCTACTTCTAACATAGAAGTCAAAAGAGCAGAAACATAAAAGGAGAAAAAGAAATTGAAAGATGGAGAGGGGGAAACGCATGCAAGTTGTTTGGTTTATGGAGTCAAAGAGAACCAGAGCAATTTAGACAAAGCAGTTTCTGAGTGAACTGTTAATACTACCTTAACAAATATTTGATTATAATGGTGAACATGTGAATAATATTATATTTATTTGTTCCAACAGAGATCGTGGCCACTCGATGGAGGAAAACAATGTAAGGTTTCAAGAATAGGGTTACACATATTACAATATCCACGTATGAAAGTTAAGTCTTGATGGAATAAAGTTGTTATATTACAATATTAGTGACAATGTTGCAAGTTTAAAATAGTGTATAAGAAGAAAACAAGCGGTTGTAAAGTCATGATATTGTGAGAATAAAGTCTTCAGAAATAACCTCGTTGTATCACAAGAATAAACTTGTGATTTTATAGATAGGAAGTCATAATTACAGCCGACAGTTTATATATATAAAGGTTAAAATGACATTTGCAGAAAAGCCAGCCACCTGCACTAAAAGGAGGAACATTTTGTGATTATGTTGTGAACTCAAACTCAATAGCCGAGGACAAACAGCAAACACAGGCAGCCGGAAAGTTTGCCAGTACTCATAACAGACTCAGTTACATGGAAGTGTGATGCCCATGAGCTAAAAGACAAAGTATTTATTTTTTCAAATGACATACTGAATGTACTGACCTTGTGTCTTAGTCTGGACTCCCTTTAAAAACTGATATTGTATCTCAGTGGGAACATTCCTGATGAAATAAAGGTAAAATAAATACATGTAGAGAGAGGATAACTTATTTCTCAAGTGGTGTAATACTCAATCGTAATATTTTAGCTCATTTGTAAAATAAATTAAAAGCTGTAAATAAAATTGAAGACAAAGCAGACAGCCTGCACTTTATCTAGCTGGAAATTAGTACTTGTGTGGGTTACATGATTCCTTTCTGAAAAAAATGAACTTTTGTTAGCATTTGAGGTATTGTATTTGATATAATAGAGCCGTTTAGCAGTGTTTTTCTCACTTATAAGAGAAATTTGGCCCCAGCTGATGAAATTTCAATGCGTCTGTTAAAGCCGTCTCCTTTGACAAATTTTTAAAAGAAACCATGGCACCTAGTATAACTTTGGGAGGCTCAAGGCCTTGTGAACAAAATCATCTTTGAATGGAGTCTGCAGCCTAGCTTATGACAGCATTTGAATAACAAAACTGATTAGATTAAAACCAGGTTGAATCACTCCTCTTGTAGACTCCCATTATGAAAGTTTGATTAAAAAGCTGAAGTCAAAGTCAAACCAGCAAAAACATTCTGAATGAGCTGAACAGTGAATGGTTGAATGATGTTTTAGCAAAAACAACGTAGGAGTGGTTGATGCTAAAAGATGTATTTGGACCTAAAATGTCTGAACAGGAGGATGATGAGTGTTAGTGAGTGTTGGCCTCTGCTCAGTACTTATGAAACTAAGAGGGAGATGTTTATGAAACAGTAGCAGAGCTGTTTTAACAAAGTGATTAAGTGCCAGCCTTCTGTCGGGTCTGATGTTGTGGCAAGGCTATAATACCTGCCAGCTGTGGCTGTCACTCAAGAGTCATTACAGGAGGGGGGAGGGGCCTCACATTCCAGCATAATGATTGATGGGCACTCTCACTGACGAGACTCTTTACCAGCAGAGCCCTCTGCGCTGCTCATACTCCCTCATGCCCCCGGCACTTGAGGGTCCGTCTGTTGTCTTGTAGTACAGTGAAAACATGAATCTTGAGACAGGCCTTTTCAGCTGATTGCATTCATCGTCATTTCCATGGCAGGCTGTTTCTTAAGGCAATAAATCTTGAGGCTTTTGCTGTGTGTTTTAATTTTATGGTTCCAGATGCACACCACACTGGTGATGTGAAACTACTGTCTTGTCTGTTTCAGCTTTAAATTATTTAAAAGTGTCGCGTGGTCTTGATGAAATGCCAGTGCCGTATGTTTCGGTCGATGTTCCAAATCAGATAGAGTACTGGTATCAGCCTCGGCCACTCTACTGTCTGAAATGGGATTGCTGGCATGAGTAAGTACACCAGTTAATACACAGATCCATAACCGAGAACAGTGAGCACCCCAAAATCAATTAAAACACATAAATGTCATTAATGAGGGTGTTTCTGCCATCAGTCTAGTATCTGAGGGGAACTCACTGTTGAGAAATTCCAAATAAAGATCTCAGATTTGTCATCTGGGAAGAAAATAAAGGAGTTGAAACCAAGCAACATAACTGGTATTGAAAAATGAAGTCCATACAAAAGTGTGGAGAAAAAAAACTACAGTTCCCAAATGCCAAAGAGACACAACTAGAGCTCATTAAAATTCTCATCTCTACAGCAGAACTGAACGTGTTTACAACCTGGTTTTAAAGAGGGTTTGGGTCTTCCTTTCTCAGCTCTGTTGTCTCTAACCAGAGTATGAGACAGATGCCTGGTCTGGTTTTATACCAGCAACAAGCAGTTCAGACAAAACCTTAAAGGCAGCAGCAGGAGAGATGGTGTACTTTTCGAACTAGATACATTTATTGTCCCCCACACAGCAGGCATGTTCTGCTTTAGGACTTCTTCTGGTGGATGGTTTGTCTTGTAACTCACACATTTTGATCATATTGAGGCTAAGAGTTTTGCATAATCAGGAATAATGAAGGGTATAGCCCCTTTGACTGACAGATGGGCCATAGATTTTCCCAGACAGGTATACAATGGCTTCAACTCCACCTCTCCCTCCACTGGTTACCAAATCAGCTGAACGTTTGTTCAAGCAACATTTCCATGATCAAAGTTTGATTGAGTTTTCATTTGGCACCATTATTTTTCTGGCCGATCACCAATCCTGACCTGCCAATTCCGATTTTGGCCGATACAGATTTTCTTTATAACTGACAGCACACACTTTCAATGTTCTACTCCTATTTCGACTTCACCCTTACTTCACTTCATGCCTTACATAAATTACAAACTGCAAACCTTTGCTCTTTTTCTTTTCCTGCCTAATACTGCCAAACAGTCAGCAGGCTTGGTTGACCATGCTCAGGGTTACTGTTGTTTACCTCTGCAGCTGACGGATGCGCGTGTGCACACTTGACCTGATAGGCGGGCCTAACAGTCTGGCTGTGCAAAAAGCTCCAATGACTGACGTTCAGACCTTTGCAGAGGTAGATCTGATTAGTTTTATATGTAAGGATTGGCTGATCGCTGATCCCCCAATCCCCCAAAATCAAGGAAATCAACGCAGATTAATTGGCCAGCTGATTTATCGCTGTATGTTCATCACCTATTAATCCCCTGACAAAGACGTTAACATACACAAGTAAGTCACGCTACGGTGAAAGCTCCATTAGGCGATTTTACCAGACTTCTGTCCTTGTCTCAGTTTACTTGCTTTGGGCAAGAATACAGTTACTGACAAAAGCACGTCGGCCTCTGCTACAGTATGTGGCAACATGCCTTCTTCAGATTCACAATTTGATCATCTCCTAACTGATGTTTTACATATCAAAATGGCCGGCAAATTGCTAACAGCATATATGTTAAATGATGAAAACACCCTCACTTCTACAGCTGATGTAGAACAACATTTGTAGATCTAAGTGGCTCCATTTCCCTCCATCATCCATGATTGTTGCCTGAAACCCCTCCATAAAACAGAATACCACAGCAGGGAAATTATCATTCACCCTGAGCCAACGTTAAGATGACAGAAAATGAAATGTGGGTCAGCATGACCAGATGTTTGCCTGTTCAGGTGGACTCCAGAGCAGAGGACTCTGCCAATCATGTGGGACCCTCGGGACTGGAACAGTGATCTGCAGTAGCTCAGTTACATGACATCTTTGGGCTCACTGTTTTAAAAGCTCCAAAGAAAGGTCACAGAGGGATCCAACACCAAATGGTATAGACCAGAGATCAAAAGGAACATAAGCCTTCAGTCAACACGGGCTCAAGTATAAATTCAAAGTCTGACAACGCTACAGAGGGACATTTCACATCAACTCTTCTTTAACCTCTGTCAGAGCTGAGCTGTTTGTCAAAGTTTGACTTGAGAGTATGATATCGAAGGAAAAGTGAAAGTCATTCCTCCCTGATCTAAACCCCAGGCACCGATTTGTCATCTTCAGAGCTGTCAGTCACGCTTACAACACTGTTAGTGATAAATGAAATTTACAGTCAGGTGTTGAAATGTTATGCAGTTTGAAATAGGTTCAAGGTGTACATACAGCACAGGATAGGGGTGAAGATTAACACTTTTCTCTATCATTAGTATGTCATAGGAATGATTCATAGCACAGCATGTGGCCTGGCATGGTTGCAAAGAGGCTTTGAATCACTGCTAATTATTTGTATTTCTAAAACCAAATTGCATGGTATGTCTCGGTGCTCTCCTCTATCAGTTCTGTTCAGTGGTCTTAATTTAAACTATAAAATGTGTGTTTCTCTAGTGAACACCGTGACACATGCCTCTACAGCTTTTCCCTTCTCTTCTGTTTGTTGTGAACAAACAAAATGTCTCCAAAAGAACCAGCCAGCCATTATTCAGACAAAAGCCCTGTTAGACGTTTTTGTCACAGTTTGAAGAACAGAAACTGTAATGTGCATGAAATGATTACAGTTTTTCTTTTCCAGTTCCTTCAAGTTAACTTCCACTGAAAATAAATCATAACAATGTCCTAATTAATTTTAGCTCTGAAATTCAATAGCTCTTTAGTAAACCAGGCAGTGTGGATTATAGCTGGCAGGGCCAAACATAACTGAACCCAGAATAATTGAATAAGTGGCCTCATTAGCCATGTTTCCTTTGTTCTGTAAAGATAGCGATGAAGACCTCAATTGTTTAGAGACTGATTAGCTCTTTTTTTTCTTGAATGTTTTAACTAATAAAGCAAAGTGATGTTTTTGCTAAAAAAGGAATTCAGAATTTAGAGTTTTCAGTTTGTCTCAGGCCAGAAAAGTCACAAGTGTTTCTGGATTATGTTTATATATGTTTTTCCTCTGCATGGCCGAGTTTTAACCTGCATTTGTGGATATGAGCTGTTCACAGATGAGGTTTCTTTAAAGTGATTTTAAAGGGATATTCTGGCATAAAATTAAGTTTGGGTCAAACACACCGTAACACTGAGTTAGACACCCTCTCGAGGGATGAGTGTTGCCGACTGCTTGCTTCTCTAGTTATACCAACTTTAGTAACAACCGCAGATAGCAATAGAGAACCACGTGCTCAACCAAAAAGCCACTCTATAGCCACAAATAATGCTCAGAACAGCACCTAACTTCATCAACAGTAAATATAGGGTCCTAGCCACCAAGCATCTTTTTAGCTTTGCCTGATTTCTTTAGCAAAGAGACTAAACACAACGTACTATTTCTCTTCCAGCAGCCACTTGTTTGTACGGAGACCTCCGGGTGAGTCCATCGGCTGCAGCGGGGTGACGCAGCTCAAGGAGGAACATTTATGATCATTACTTTATCATTTCCTTTAAGTAGTAATCACCATATTAATCATTTTGCACTTTAGACACGGTAGGTCTTCTACCTTAGTGTCTCGGTCTGATTGCAGTTCCATGAGGAAATGAATGAAGTTGGTATAACTAGAGAAGCAAGCGGTCGGCAACATTCACCTCTCGACGGGGTGTCTAACTCGGTGTTACGATGTGTTTGACCCTAACTTAATTTTATGCCGGAATATCCCTTTAAGTCCATGCAGTGATTTCCACTTCGTCTATCTTAATGCACTGCTGCTTGAGGGTCCAAAGCTCACAGCCTTCCATTATTGATCATCAACTTTTCCCTTAAGTACAAATTATTTCCTCGACTCTCTGAATCATACACCGTGAAGTAGAAGTTAAACCTCCTTATTCTTTGTAATTACAAGCTGAACAACATTAATTTCCTCACACAGTCTCTCCCTGTGTGGTAATCAGTTTTCCATCTTCACCTCAAGAGATTCGGCCTCTCTGGAAAGCCATTTTTAACTCCATCATGTTATTAACCTGTAATGTGTCACTGGCAACAAATCAAAAATAAGTACCTGTTATTTTTTATTAACCATTTTCATGTTTCATATTGTTGTTGTCTTTGCACTACACTCAGTCATTTCTCTAACAGTCTATTTAGTGTAGTTGGCTCCTTTTTACCTCCGCCAAGGAGGTTTTGTTTTCGGTATCGTTGGTTTGTTTGTTTGTTGGGTTGTTGGTTTGTTTGTCTGTTAGCAACTTTACGGAGAAAGTAACAGACGGATTGACCTGAAATTTTCACCAGAGGTGCGTCTCAGCCCCAGGAGGATCCCATTACATTTTGGTGGTGATCCGGATCGCCTTCTGGATCCAGGAATTTTTTGAAGGATTCTTTATCATTGTGAGATAGGGCAAATTTGGGAATTTTTGCATTTAACTCTATAAAAATGTCTTTAGTAAAAAAATTACACAAAAGGATCTGAATGAGTTTTATGAGGTGTCAAAGGTTTTCTGAATGCTGAAAGATAACCAATGGGCGGCACAGTGGTGTAGTGGTTAGCACTGTCACCTCACAGCAAGAAGGTCCTGGGCATTTCTTGTTTTAGGAACATTATGAACAGTGAACATACCAGTTTAAACACAAATAATAGTTAATAAAAGACACGTAACAGTAAAAGTTTTGGTGTGAATCACAATATAAGGGGGGACATGAGCTGCTTGGCGGAGGTCTGCGTTCTCCGAGTGCTTTTCTAGTCTTACTTATCTATTACTTTCAAATGTGAAATAAGTAATTGCTAAGAAAAGTTAGAGAAAGGAAGAATAATGTCATCAGACTGAAATATGAGAAGGAAATTGAGCACATGCAAGTGTGGGCGAGACAAAGAGGGGTAGCATGTATATATACCGTACATGAAAAGAGCTGATACATCTAACATGTATCCATGTAATTTAGTGTTGGGCAGTGAAATGAATGGAAACCACTGCAGACCTCAGTCTCTGCTAACAGTGACACCCTGGAATTAACATTTGACAGGGTTATTATATGAGCCTGTCTGACACACATGAACCCACTGAATACCCACCCAATATTTTCTCTTAAATGACCCTCTTAAAGAAAAAATTTCGTAACTGACCATTAGTAACTCACCTGGTTTGAATACTTGTGCTGTATTACCATTCACATGATTATCACATAGATTGCTTCCCTTTCTTTCCGTTGTTCCTGAGTACAGAGACTGTCAAGGCTGGCTCGTACTGAATGCAACTATTGTCACTCTTTGACATCCTACTTACGAATTCCTGTTCTTTAAACATGCTCAAAATAATTGAATATTTGAAATGTAATTAAGCAAAGGAAACAATAACCTTGACCTTGTCTTCGTGTACTTTTTAAAAACAGCATTTTTTTGTCCAAGCACAAACTGTTATTGCTGTTAATATTTAAGTTATAGATATTTGTCCACATTTGATTAGATCAATTACTGCTTTTGTATGTAAACTGAAAATCCACCCTCATTACTTCAGGCTTATACTTTTTACACCAAAGCTTTGTCCGGTTTTGCATTTTTACTTTCAAACAGCTAGAATCACAACAAGCGTATCGGCATTTCTGAGTCCCATTAGGCCTCGAAATTTTTGTAAATGCTGTCACCAGTCAAGAATTCTCCTAACTAATGATAATTTCACAATTTTTAAAAGTACTTTCCCCACCCACTCATGTCACCAGCTCTCAATAAAGTACTGGTATTTATATGAACAGCAGCTTGTTTTGAATCCTTTGTCTCGATGGAAAATTGCTGTGGTTGTTGCCGGAAACACATTTGATATGGTAGCTAAATGCGGCTTTGTCCTGGAGGAATACATGAAATTAATTTGTCTACACGTACATGAGGACTTTACCCAACTTTCCAGTCTTAAGAAAGATTAGGAAGTAGAGCAGTCATCCAACAACTGGAAGGTTGGTGGTTCGATTCCCCCCTATCCCTAGTCTGTCCTTTATGTCCTTGGGCAAGACACTTATGCTGCGTTCGAGTTACCTCAGAAGTCAGAGGTCCGAGCTGAAAATGACGTCACACCCGAAGTTACCAGCATTTCAGTTAGCAAGTCGGGAAAAAGCAAAATCAGAGGCGGACACAAGATGGCTACATCTACAAAAGTTATTTTAGCGCTTACCTTGTCCGAATATTCGACAAGTGCAAGAACAACTTTCGTAGATGTAGCCATCTTGTTTCAGGCCTCCGATTTTGCTTTTTTTCCGACTTGCTAATTGAAACGCTGGTAACTCAAGTGTGACGTCATTTTCATCATCTGACTTCTGAGGTAACTCGAACGTAGCATTAACTCTCCTTGCTCCCAGTATGTGTCCTCTACAGGCGTATGATTTGTATGTACATCACTTTGGCTAAAAGCGTCTGCTAGATGACATTGCAACTTGTTTGACAAAAGGGAATATCATGACAAGTTGGAGATGAAAATCCAAGAGAAAATAGACTCATTGAATTCAGGCTTTGAGAAATGTAGTCAGTATTTTCTTCTAAATTTACCGCAAAGAAACACTTAAATGTCACTTTGACTTGTCTGACAGTGGTGTGTTTTACGAAAGGTCATCCTTTTATCATTTCATTGTGTTAATCTAAGAATGTGTCCAGGTTATTTTAGAGATTCATCTCCAACTGTTATTAGTCGAAGATCTCAGTTGTGCTGCCCTGTCTTGTGTAACCTTTTCACAAATGTAAGAGAGATACTTGAAAGGGTTATTAGTCATCAGATGACCTTATTTTCTTGTTTAACCTGGATAGCCTTGTGGTTTTGTTGTGACTTTAATAGAGCAAGATCAGCTTAAACACGGCCATTTGTCTTACACAATGTCACCCTAAACAGGTGTTTCTCCTAATTTCAGTCAAGGTTCAGTGTATAAAAGTACTGAGGCAGGTTTCAGTAAACAGCCCGCCCAACCCCTGCCTGGCTCAAATGCTCTCTTCGTCTCTCGCCAGCTGAACGTGTGATGCTGTAAGTGATATCAAGCTGAGTCTCATTGTGATGCAGACCATGAGAACTGCAGGGCAACGGCTCAGCATCCCTAAAGCAATAACAATGCTGCCAAAAACTTGAAGCTAAAACTTCTCAGCATCTCTGCCTTCATGCTCTGCATCATTAACGAGAAGGATTTTTAGGCTAGAGCCCATCTAAACAGGATCTCTCCTGAACCACAGGACGGAAACAGAACCCCCCACTCATTTCACAACACACCATGGTGGTTCAGTCATATCCCATTCACTCTGTAACTTCTTTTTAAAAAGTGATATATAAATAAAAGTGTCATTTTAACCATTATCATGATTATTTTCATTGTCCTTCAATTTGACAGCTGTTTCAATTTAGTTTACACTGCCAGGTGCTGTAAATGGCAAGCAATACTTAAACTGGGGACATTCAGGACTGACAGGTATATAAATTCCAACTAGTAATGTCAGAAAACACTCTAAAACACAATTTATTTAACTCAGTGTGGGAACAAAACTGTCAGATTTCAGTCTTCAGTCCTCCCTGCAGTTTCACATCCACATGCCTGTGCTGGTTATGCTATGTCAAAGTTGAGTGGTTATTTGCCAGTTTAATGACACAGCCTGTTTATATATAACTCCATCTTCCTTTTTGACATCAAAATGCTGCCAAAACATGCCATGCTATGGCAGATGCCATCTGTCATCTGTGCGTGTTTACATCCAGCAGTAGAGTAGTATGACACAGTAGACATTAATTGGAGCTAAAGGCCGGCTAATGGGATGTGGTTGGGTTACAGCCTAGATGAACATTTGATCTGAATCTTTGGCCCACAGTAATTATTATATCAATAATTGATTTAAATCACCATTTATTCTGGTTGTTGATGAGGGTGATGCTCTTTGGTGACCTTTAACGACCTTTTGTCTTCGACTACACAGACATCCCCAGCTTTAACTAGATTGTAGTTATAGAAAATGTATTACAAATTTAAAATAACACAACAAACCGTATTTTTCGCACTATAAGGCACACTTAAAATCCTTTTGGCTTGTCGGAGCGCTGCAGCTAGCTAGGCGGAGTTATTGAATGAGTTGAATAAAGTTTGTCTTATCTGGCTTAATGTGCTTTATAATCCGGTGCACTTTATGTATGAAAATAGACGTGAATAGACGCGTTCATTGATGGTGCACCTTATAATCAGGTGCGCCTTATAGTGCGAAAAATACGGTATATGAAGAAATCTGTCAATGAATGCCACATTTTTTCATGAACAAGGAAGTAAACACAAACTTTGGTGACAAATATGTCACAATTCTACTATGAGCTCTCTGCAATAAAAGCCACTTGTCATTTTTTTCCGTGACTCCTTCAAAATAAAAGTCTACCCTAGTGACATCATTTGAATTCTTTTAACATGAAGCTGCAGCAAAGAAGAATGCTTCATTTGCCTCACCAGCTGTTTTAGTGTACACTACAAGCAAATTTGTTTTCTGTAAATCTTTATCCAGTAAGTTTGTTTGTTTTTCTGTCAAGTTTTAAACTGAGATTTATTTGTCTATTTTTATGGTTACATCCATAATTTTTTCATTTTAGTATGGGGTTTAATTCAGTTTTATCCATCTACTCTCTGATAATTGTTTGCATTTCTTCTTTTTATCCAGCCTCTTATCGAGTGCTAAAGATTTATATCTTTTTGTAGTCACTGTAGTCTGTTTTTCCTCTGTTTTTCAGTTTGTATTGTGGTAAACACAAATGAAGAATTATAATGTTTTCCTGGTTATGCATTTTCTTAAGTCTTCCAAATGGCTTATTAAGAGCATAATTTTGTCATAAGTCAGTTTTAGTTATGGCTCTGTGAGTGGATACATTTGGACAGTACAGTAAGTGTTGACTAAGTCTAAAAATAAGTACAATTTAAAGTTTGTTTTCTACCTTGTAGGGATTATGCCATTAACAACCAAATACACAGTGTAAAAAGAGGCGGTTAATGGGAGTAAGATACTGGATATTTGCAGAAAAATCACCATCAGTATTTAGATGGGTTTCGATTTCATGTCACATTATATTTTAAAGCACAATTTATTTGTCTTTTTTATTACAATGACAAATTATAGATAAATATATAAACCTTCCAAAAGCACAAGAGAATAGAAAGTAAAAAGCCTGTGCAGCTTTCATAGCAGTGTTTTTTCCTGCTTGTTATCACAGCAGCAGGGTTGAATCCCTCAGGATATGTGCGGCAGTGAGGCAACAAACCTAAAATGGAGTGATTCTTCTCCAGAGGCAGATCTATAGGCATGTGGCTCCCGGTTACAGTGTTATCACTCAAAGAAAGCCGTCAAACGCTCAGTGGCATTCACTTGAGCCAATTAATTAGAGCCTAACAAGGCATGGAGTGGGAGGGGATTAAAATCTGCAGGGTGGTGACTGAGTCAAAGGCGCCCTACAAATAAGGCCAACTTCTCGTCACACACTGGCCTGTATTGTGACATGTGGAGGACTGGAAAGCTGTGGGAGTAAAACATGCCCACAATTTCAACTGTATTTGGACATGTAATTTTCTGTACTGTATTAATTATTCTACCCGTGTCAGCACACTCCGTCAAAGTATTTTAGCATCAATTTTACACAGAAACAAGAAATTGATACAAGCTGATACCTGGTCCTGTATTTCAGGAGGTGCAGGATGTAGTGGTAATAAACAAAGCAACACTTTCAACAAAACATAGAGGTAATCTGATGACTGACTGTCTTCTTCATTGCACAGAATTATTCATGTTCAGATCAGAGGTTTTAACATATGTTGTCCTAAGAGAAATGGTAGCTATAACTTCCTGAGGTTCTGTCCTAGTATTATAAGCTCATGTTGCAGTTTGTTGGCTGCATGGTTCCCTATGTCTGACATAATTAATCCAGCAGCAGTGAACGGGGGTGGCATCCTCTGCTGCTGCATGGAGCAGATGTTGTAAATCCACCGCAGCTCACACAGACAGGTGCCCTCCAGCCGGTTCCTGTCTGCTGCCTTGGTAATGGTGTGTTCCCTTTCCTTGAACACTGGAGGAATGGAGCAATCTAACCTCTGTCATCTTCACATTACAAGGTTACACTGAAGAGCATGAGCTGACTAATCAGCTTTGCAGAACAAAATGTACAGATCCCATACTGTATCTTTGGACTACCCAGGCCGAAGCTAATTACAGATGTACGAATGCTTTGCAGAGTGCTTTTCAATCGCCTCATGGAGAAGCTGCTTCTCATAATGGACATTTCGAGCTATAGCGAGTCCAAGGAGTCTTTCATTATCTTCCAGTGTCAATTTCAAAAGAAACATTTACCAAGAAACTCTCTCTTACACTCACTGACCGTGGAAAAATACAAAAATTACATCTACAGTGAATCATTGCTGCAGCTAAGCATGAGTTACTTTAAAGTTAATGTACAAGTTGTACAGCACTGTTAGCACACTGCAGTACAACTCCCACACTCAATGTTTTCATCCCAAAGTGAAAATTAAACCTATAAAACTTAAGAACTCAATTTAAATATCTGTTTTGCAAAAGTTAATCTTTTGTAAAGCTGCCTATGAATGCATCGCATGTTACATTTCTTCGCTTTACTTTTAAATGCAATTGACAACATCAAGAACGTGAGTTACAAATCAAAGTTTTAGTGTTTATTTATAATTTATATTATAGCCAATGTCTACTGTTTTAACAACAAATAAACACCAAATACAAGATGATTTTTTTAATTCAGAAAATCTGGAAAAGGGGGATCATTTTAAATTTGGGGTCTTGATGATGATTCATTCAGCACGGACATTATTCAGCTGCAAATTGGTGTTACAGAGTGCGACATGCGAGCCTACATGACCGTCTTACAACTGCTAATAGTCAGAGAAAATCTTACCATGGTCCTAAAAGCAACCGATTCCAAGCGACAGCCAGCTGATAGCCTTAAAGGTGAACGTCAACATGGCCCTGTTTTCCCATGTGTTTATGTGTGCTTGACTAATAAGGGGGAACAGTTTCTGGAAAAGGTCCAGTGTTGAGATGGAGCAGACCAGCCTGCAGCTGCAAAATAAGCTTGTAGTGGATGCAGTTTGATGATGCACAATTGCCCTGTTAAATTATGTTTTAGTATTTTTCATGGCTGCTGGCTTCTCCACTTTACGTCAATACTGGACCATTGTCAGAAACTGTTCTCCCCATTAGTTAGCACACACAAACACATGAAAAAATACCCTACTTAGATGGAGTACTGAAACATCTGTACATTTTAATAAATGTTAATTACATACATTAGACAGAAGAAGTTTGTTGATGAAGTGATTAAGATGATTACCTGGTTATCTTTATTTAGTTTTTTGTGTTTTTTGAGTGTTTTATTTGCATGATAATCTCCCAAATGAATTAATATAAACCCTTACACATTTCTGCATTAGTGTAACCTGCCGTCAGAGACTGTTCCTGGTCATGTTCAGGTCTTGCTGTGGTTTCATACCGTAAAAATCTCAGTCCTGTCTTGTTGCAGTCTTAAACGGATATTCCTGCAGAAGACTAATTTAGAGTCAAACACAACACAACACAGAGTTAGACACCCCCTTGAGAGATGAATGTTGCCGACCGCTTGTTTCTCTAGTTATACCAACTTTATTAATGACCGCACGATAGCAATACACAGCGGTCTATGGAACCACACACACACCTCAACCGAAACGCCACTCTATAGGGTCCCAGCCACAGCACGAGCCACCAAACATCTTTTTAACTTTGCCTGATTTCTTTAGCAAAGAGACTTAACCCAACTCACCTACTCTCTTCCAGCAGCTGCTTGTTTGTAGCGAGACCTCGGGCCAATCCATTACACACTGCTGCGGGGTGAAATTAATTTTACGCCAGAATTTCCCTTTAATACATTCAGATCTGAGTTTGACTTCGATCTGCTTCAGGTCACCTTTACTGCTGCATACTTTTCTTTTCATATTAAACTTACACCTTTTAATTATCTAATTTGAGGCACTGCTGCAAACTAGTATTATTGTGGACAATAGTTTCCCAACCATCTGTCTTCTGCTCATTCGCTTCTTTGCTTGGATGAAACAAACAAAGCAGGAAAAAGAAAACTGGCTTGGTTGACAGTCATCGCAGGACTCGGTTCTACTGTACAGACTTGCATAATTTCATACATACTCGAGGGAAATTAAGTTCAATTTCACTTTTCCAATGCATTTTTGGATTGTGGAAGGAAACTGAAGTAGATAGCATATGCAAATTGGATACAGCCAGACTAGAGAGCCAGGCATGCACTACAGACTGCCTCACAAATCAATCATCTAGTTTACTGCAAATTAGTGACAGTAAAACAATATTTAATATACAGATAATTAAAAAAGGCTAGGATGATAATAGAAAATTCATTTTACATTATGTTTGACCTTTCTGTCCTACCCATAAACATAGATATGAAAGTAAGACCCACTACCTTTTATCAGTGCTCTCAATGTCAACAGTTAGAGGATTTAATTGGCTGATAACGTCCATATCTGCTAATACAGTAATGACTATTTCACAGAATCCTTTCCAACAAGGTGAAAGCTGTTGTTACTTCTCCTGACCAAGCAGTTGTAACTGCAGTAATATTGGGGCTTATAAGAGTAGACATTAACTCAATTTATACGGTGCATACAACGTTTCCAGTCATTCCTTTTTATCGTGGCTACGGCGAGGCCACAAACTGATTCCACTGATTTGATTAACTGAAGAGCTCCTCCGGGGCATGGAGATGTAGAATAAATTTCATAGAAAAGCAGTTTCGTGCCTTAGCTCAGTGGCTATATGGTCTGGTCTGGGAACGCTGATAAGCAACTGTTCCATTTGCAGGCTGAAATGCAGTGTAATTCACTTGCCTGCACATGTAAACAAACAATGAAACACTAATTAAATGCTATAAAGTTTGAGGCTGCTCTTATTTTAATTAAATAATAGCAGTAATTCTGCTTATAGTGCATGTGGACGGCTACAGATATCAAGGAGTTCAGTTAGTGAGCTCATTCATCCTGCCTGTCAGGAAACCTGTGTTGGGACCACAATGATACAAAGCTGCTGCATCCATCATTTGCAAGTAACACTGTCTGGCTTTTCTTACGGCTTCAAGTGCAGACGTTTCTCCCTCTTTTATCAGCTTTAGGGATATAGCAATTTAAACTCAAATGGGTGACAAGAATAAGTTCAAGACAATGAGAAATTTATCAGGAAATGGTGTTAATGCTTCTTTTCCTGCAGGGTATTCTCCTGCTCAAGACTGCCCAAAAATAATCTCAGTAAAGCTCTTTTTACATCTGATCTCTTGACGCTTTCTGTGCAAATTCAGGATATTCAGGCAATTTTTATGAGGGTATTTTTGGTGCAAAAGGTTTGCGCATCTGTAACATGTAACAGTGATTGTCTATGTGTATTAGTAAATGTGAAATCCGCACTCTATGAGTTGTTTACTAATAGGTTTTTTGTGTGTACTTGTTGAATTTTTTTATTACCACAAATACAACACATTTACACATTCACAAATTCTTAATTACAGGTGCACAAATCCTATTTTACAAGTCACAGATTCAAACTCTGACACGCTCAAATTTTTGCTCCAATTGTTGCAGCATATTTGGTGCAAAATATATTTGTGCACATGGATGGAGCAATAAGGAGTTGTGGACAAAATTTGAATATGTGAATATGTTTTATTACATTAATGTGCAATAAGCTACCACAAAAGTAGTTGTGTTGTTTTAAAACACAAACACAAATCAATAATTACAACTGCTGGAATCTTCCCCATGAGTCACAGATTGTGCTTCCTACATCTACAAATCGAGTCGCTGAATTGTTTGGTGCAAAAGGGGGTAGCTGATCTGAGATTGACGGGTTTTACAACCAATCTGAGGTGATAGCATTTCGTCTCATCCCGGGATGTTTCCCACTCCTGGATGGTACCTGAACAATCCATCCAAGTAAACTTACAGCCGCCCAAGTATATTTGCGGACTATAAATGCGTGTTAAAGCTCATCTTATAACAGAGTCCCTGGTGACATTATTTTAAAATGGGTTATTTATGAACCTAACGAAACATTCTGCTGATGAAGGTTGTCAGAGGAGCAGAAACATAAAAGAGGACAGAAAGGGAAAAAGCCGGTCAACAGGTCTGAACTTTTCTTGCATGTGCTCTTCCAGTATCTGCACATGTTCATCTTGATGAAACACAGACAGCATTGTCCAAGAAACAGTGTTGAGGTCGAGTCACCAAGGAAGAACATTTATGATCATTACTTTATCATTTCCTTGAAGTAATAATCATCATATCAATCATTTTGCACTGCAGACGCCGTAGTTTTTCTGCCTTAGCGTCTCAGTCTGATTGCATTTCCATGAAGTAATGATCATAAATGTTCTTCTTTGAGCTGTGTCACCCCGCAGCAGTCCGTAATGGGCTGGCCTGAGATCTCGCTACAAACAAGTGGCTGCTGGAAGAGAGTAGGTGAGTTGTGTATAGTCTCTTTGCTGAAGAAATTAGGCAAAGTTAAGAAAATGTTTGGTTACTAGTGCTATGGCCGGGACCCTATATGTCCTGTTGATGAAGTTAGATGCCGTTCTGAGCATTATTTGTGGCTATAGAGTGGCGCTTTGGTTAAGGTTTGCTTATGGCTCCTCAGACCGCTGTGTATTGCTATCATTTGGTCATAACTAAAATTGGTATAACTAGATAATCAAGCGGTCGTCAACATTCATCTCTCGTGGGGGTGTTTAACTTGGTGTTACGGTGTGTTTGACCCTAAAGTAATTTTACGCCGGAATATCCCTTTAAGTCCTCAGTGTTCAAGTCTCAGCTAGCGGAGAAGAGCCAGAGTCACCTCAGTCTAAGTCCCAGCTGAGACCTCATCATCAATATTGTTTATTCCAAGGTTGGCAGCTGTTTGACTCTTGCCTATTGACAGTATGAACCTGAATTGACTGTGCGGGACCTTTTGGAACTGTAGAAAACACATTTCCTCCATTAGCATAAAAGATTTTCACCAATCCTCTCAGTCTACCTGGAGGTTTAAAATGTCAATAAAGTTACAGCTCTGTGTGTTGTTTGTGAACGGGCACTGGGACACGCTCATTGATTCTGCTGGAGTGGGATCACTGCAGGTGTAAAGTGGACTTAACAATACCTGCATCCCAGCTAGCAATCAGAATTTTAACTGAGTGAACATCTTGAAACAAGTGGTCTAGTCACTTAAGTTGCTGGTGTTACATTGACTTTATTATCTCACTTGGTTCATATTGCACTGATGCATATTCAAGTTTCAGCTTGTCCCCGTCCATTCTTGATGATTATATATCAGACAGGTTGCATTGCAGAGCTGCTGTCTGTAACCTCACAGCTATTTATTCTCTAACAGGTCTAATGAAAGGGGAGATACAGCTTTTAGGGTGATCTGGAGCCCTGCTTACGCAAGTGCTGTATCATTTTCACCTTCCATCTCTAAAGCTGCAGATCAATAGCAATTTTCAACCAGAGTGATATGCATATTAGAGGAAACCCATCTGTGGAAATTTCTCTGTCTCTTCAGTTAGGATAACGACCACTTGTGTCTTCTCCTGTCTCCTAAGTGACAGTTATTCATTCGGTTTGTGGTTGCCGCCTTGTCCTTTTTGTGAACATCAACTTTCGCAGTTCAGGGCAACTCCCTTCATTTAATGCAGAATCAGACTTGAAATCTCAGATGTTGACTGGAGGGTTGATGGGAAATGAAGCTGGGTGAAAAGATAATTCTCCATGTCAATGAAAATATACAGCATAGCATGGCCATAGCCAACCCATGTTTAATTGAGTAAATCTGATATATCTTCGAGGAACTCTACAGCTTTATCTTTCCCTCACTGTTTGCACTGTTTGCTTTTTTATACTAAAACTAACTGGCAGACTTTTTTTCACAGAAGTCATTTAAATCAAACAAAAAGTGCTCTTTGGAAGATTAATTTGCAGTCATACAGCCCAAAGTTTCCTCCAATAAAACAGGCATAAACCTCCCAACTAGGTTGTTTTTCCATCTTAAACCACAGCAGACTTTCCTCGCCAAATGATCCCCCTGTGGTCACTTTAGAGTCTCAACCCGTACTCAAATAAATAAAGTGAACTTTTTGCTTCAAACCATCCACTGTGCTGAGTGTTTACATGTGTTTACACACAGTCGGGGTAAGCACATGTAAACACCTCGAGTATCTTTCCATCAAGCACTTGTGAATCTACATTTGTCTGTATGATTGGTAGTTAGTTTAGAGATTGGTGGTTGGAGTTTGAGATGCGACAATTTGTTTAAATGAACCCGTGCAATTTAAACCGAGCTTCTAAAAAAAAAGTGGCTGAGTTAAAGAGGCAGATGTTCAAGCTTGAACAAAAGCCACTTATTATGAATAAGACTGCAGTGACGGATGTGAAAGTAAGTCTTAGTGATATGGTGAGAAAATTTGATGGATGAAACAGAAATGTGTTTTTGATCTGTAGTTTTATAAAACCTCTATTATTTTATTTTATATCAATAAACCTCTTTTTCCTAAAAAGGATCCATTGACTAAAAAATTACACCACTGACCTCCATCTGAGAGTTGTTTTAGATATTTTCATTACAGAATAAAAAATAAAAGCAACAAATTGTCAATTTGTTCCTGAAAGTGAACTTATTGCAGTGGAAATAAATTCCAGTCTTAACTTCAGACTTCCACTCACCCTATCATTGACCCATGGCAGTCCCTGGACTCCACTTCAAGAACCACTCAAATAAACCTTTAAATAAATTGTCAGAAAAATAACTGGTTCCAACCTTACAAACAAAAAAAAACACCAAAAAAAGATTTAAAATCCAAAATAGCTGCATGACTCACCAAGTTTCTTTTTTTTTAAAAAATATTTCTTCCTGCTCTTGACAGCTTGAAGTCATCTTTTGACACAAAAATGCTCCATTAATACTTTCACCTCAGGCAGCTCTGTAATAGCACGCCGTGTCAGGTCATGCCTATCGCTGTGGCCCATTGAAAACACCGTACAGCATGAAGTGCAGACGGTTTCAGTAGAGTCACTGTTGATCACATGACTAAATGTTATGTTTGCCGCCTATTACTTACTGTAGCTGCAAAGTCTCCTTTTCTGACAGTTTACCTGTATTTCTAGGTACACCTGTGCACCACAAGTCAACAGAACAACACCTTTTATAAATAAAGTTATTTCAGAGGGATTTAAGAACCAGTGAAATCAGTCCTTGGTTCAACAGCTGCTGGATCAGTGAACCACTAAATCCTCCCCTGCATACTCCTGTAACTTGGTTTCTCATGATCTGCCCTCAAGTGGTTTATATCCCACCTCACAGGGAGATCTGGAGTAACCCAGAGGGAAGGAGTGTCAAAAGGGGTGCCTCAGGGGTCAGTGTGTGGTCCCTTCTTTTTCTCAATGAACACTTGTTTGGTGCAGTTATTCGCTCTCATGGTTGCTCATGCCACTGCTATGAAAATGATACCCAGCTTGTCCTGAGTAAGTTAATACAACTGTATTGGCTTGGACCGTATTATGTTGTGCTGATGATACTAAAAGAATGAATATTTAAGATTATATGAGATAATATAAGATTCATGTACCTGTGATTGCTCTGTCATGCAGAGTTGCCTTCCCTATCCGACAGACCATGCAACAGCTCCTGGGACTGGTATCATGCACTGACTACTGCAACTCCTTACTGGCAGCTCTTCCTGCATCCTACATGCACCCTCAAATCTCTGCAGATGATTCTGAATGCATCAGCCCACCTTGTCTTCAACCAATCCCAAAAAGGCACATCACTCCGTTGTCTATTCCTTTCAAGGGACTTCTAGTTGCAGCTTGTATTAAATTCGAAATCCGTCTTGCTTGCAAAATAACAACAAAAACTGCCCCAGCCATCCTTGAATCCCTCATCCTTCTGCCCACTACATACACAATAGAGCACTAAGTTACTCACCCGACTCTTTTCCCCCAGTGATGGAATGAATAATACTTTTCTTTTTTTTTCTGTGGAGTCCCTTTCTACTCTTAAGAAAAAACTTAAGACCCACCACTTTTGGGAACACCTCTGCACTTAAGCCGGACCATTCTCCTCCTAGAGGTAGAATGAGTTACCTGATCAGATGTGATCCACGCAATCACTTTCTACCTCCGAGAAACTTCTTGGCCTTGCTCTTTGTGAACAACTATGCACTTGGAATTTTGTTGCTATAGGTGATTTTAATGACACCAGTAATGACGCTTTCTCCTGCACTCTTGAACAAACCCATACATGAATAAGTTATCTCAATGAATAGTTGCAAAACTGGTTTTATTTTGGGTAACAAAATAATCAATCAATAATCACTCATGTATGCCAATGATTTGGTTTCAGCAGCTGCTCAGTCATTTTCTTCACTTTCATCTGTCAGGGTAGGTTCAAACGGTCGATGATGATGACAACTTGTACAGGAAGTCCTTTATACTATATGCTCAAGCAAGTACTTTGGCGAGAAAATCCTTTATGTGCTCTGACAATATCAAGGTCACTGTTGTTAGAGCTTCCTGAATACCTTTGTATACCGTCCCTTCATGGGTTAGGTATAAAAAAGCAAGCCTACAAAGGCTTTATATTGCTTACAATGATGCTATGAGGGTATTTAATTTATTTATTTATGAAAAAAAAACAAAAAACATATAGTGCGAGTCAGTTGTACTATGAAGTAGAAGTTTTTACTTTCCAGCCTGTTTTGAGGAAACATATATTTAAGCTCATATTCTAATGAAAGGATTCTCATGTTACAGCATTGCCACCTGTTGTGTGAATCACATGACTGGCTGGTACCCAACTTGGCCATCCTGCTGTTATTCTTGGGGCGGTTTGTACAGGTAAGATTTAAAATAATTTTATTAAACTAGAATCGTAAAGTTGGGAGCGGAAAAAAAAAGCAAAAAGCACAAAGACACCAGGAAGGAGGGATGTAAAGCTGGGTTGACTATTATCTGTGGATCCATCCCTTAATTCTAGACCTTTTAAATACTTGTCATCACTTGAAGGTGTTAGATTGGAAAGAAAATAACACTTCAGCAGTTTTAAAAGTATTTTAAAAATTTCAGTAGATTGTGGACACATTTTCAAGGGTACAGGAACAATACAGATGCATAAGTAGATTGTAAAAGTAAGAGAGAAACATTCTTTAAGCAGCAGAATTCACAAGGTTATAGTTAGGCCTTCAAACTTTAAAAGTTAAGTTTATGAAAATATTCTTCTTTGTAAGAATGAAGCAATAAGGTTTTCTTTGCCATGTTTGGCAAACCAAGCTGCTAAGCTTCTTATATCATAAATGTACAATAGGTGTCAAAACAGGAGTTGTGTTGGTCCCTTTCCTTGTTTTGTATAATCGTGTATTCCGAGATATTTTCAATCCCATAAATCTCAAAATGTAAACACATGCAGTAATTAGTTAACAGTGATGTAACTGAAGGCATCCAACTATTATAATGGATTAGGGCTTCAAACTCAGACTCGTTTATTTTCACCCACATTCATCACGTCTAATCAATGGTACGTCTTTGGCAACACTCCCCCCAGCAGTCCGACAATGTCACCCTTCTCCTCAGCCTATGAGACCATAAAATATGAGTCCCTTTTACAGCAAACTTTAAGTACTATTCAAGTTCTTATATTCTGATATTAAAGGTAGATTATTGTACTCAAAGTTAAACACTGTCACCATTAAAGGTCAGAGCCTTCAGACTGACTGACATCAGATGAATGGCAATTTGCCAGCTCAACAGCACATTTTAAAACCTCTCTAATTAAACACAAAGGCATTTTAAACGCTCTGACAATGGCTGTAGAACAGACGCAGCCCACAGGAACAAATCTAACAGCCATTCTGTCTCTAAAGCTTTTAACCCACAGCTCTGCCAGCCAGGGAATGTTACTCAAATATATTAATATGTTTTCGATGGAAAAGTCATGTTTTTCATCGAGTTTTGTTTCTTGTAGACCACAAGACTCAACAGGGGCATCACTGACTCTTCAGTAATGACAGTAAGCTGTTTTAAGTTTGATTACCACAGGGACAACTGCATTAAGTATTGATTTTATTTATTGTTTCCTTTATTTTCATTACGTACATCATCTGTTTTCACAAGAATGTAAAAATCAAGTTGAAGGTTAGGATTCACACTTCAAACCTCTTGTAAACAGTAGGGAGAGTTAAGATTTCCCCACAATGAGGACTTAACTGGCATTTTCCACCGCATCCGGAACGGCTAGAAAAAAGGCCGTATTCGCCGATTGTAGCTGATCGTAACCATTCAAGTTAATGTGTCAATTTCCATCGGCTTCTTTCTGTTCCGCTGTGGATTGCCAAACTCTGCAGCTGATCGCAAGGGTTCTACTTTTTCCGGACACCGGAGCATGCCAGATAAATTCAGCACAGATTAACCTGTGCTGGAGAGGAAGTTGGGCACAGACACAAAATAAAACATCCGGCTTCTTTTCAAAATAAAACACTCTGTGTTTCAGGCAGATCGTATTTCACACCATGCAAACAGGCAGAAACGAACAAGTGAAAGGTTTATAGACAGCATTGCATCCCGATGACACCAAGAATGAGAAGATGCTGATTTTAGAAACCTAAAGATGGATTTCCTTCTCTGGAAGAACACAATCTACTGCTTATATGGTTAGCCTATGTGGCTAAAGACAACTTGTTATTGCATGATTGCACGTGAATCCGCGGGTTCTTGTGAGCTCTCACAATTCCTGCTGTCCATAATCTGCCACGAAATTCGCCTCAGAAACAGATCCAGTAGGAATTGGCGGACGGCACCGTTCCGGAATTGGTGGAAATCCCAGTTTAGCCAAATCAGCTACAAGGATACTCCCATCTGAAATCTTTGTGTTGGTATTCATGTCTAACATCAAGAAGTACTTACTCATTAATGCCAAGTACAATTTGAGTTCATTAAAAGGCAGTGACTAGTTAGTTTCCCAGCAAACCAGTGGAGCTAGATGTTATTTAATTGCACTTTGTTGGGCGGTGTTGGCCTAGCCGTTTTAGGCTGAGTTGCGTGTACAGAAGCTAATAGTTCTCATTGCATCAGTTGCCAATTCCACTCCTGGCTGCAAATCTTTGCTGCACGTCTTCACCTACTCTTTAATCCCCATATTTACTCTCTCTCACATACACACATTATAACCTTTAAAAATATGTACTCTGTTAATACAGAGCAGAGATTCATTGATGTTGCAAAAGTAGTTGTAGAAAACTAAATGTCAAAAGTTAGTCTGTGACGCCATTGTGCTTGTTTTACTCAAGTGCAAAGACAACACTGTTTTCCAGAGTTGAATTTCTAATGGATAGCATCCATACTATCTCTGCTGAGAGCACTACATGTGTAACAGTATAAAGAAGGTGTCAGGTCAACAAATCATTGCAAAGTAAACTACCAAGGAATAAGACATCTTGCATCCTCACCATCTTTGAAGAGTGATGCACATGCAAAACAGTGACTGGGAAGCAACAGGTGAAGTAAGCATTGCAACATGGCAGCAAGCTCTGCAATCCCATTGTGTCCTGAAACTTCTGAAGTCTGAGAGAATTTCACCTTCAGCACCACAAGAAAACGGGCTGCCAGCAAGTTTTTGAAGAGAAAGCACATTGGACATGTCTATTTTAGAAATCAACTTTGACATTCAACTTAACAGTCCAAAGTCAGAACCACGTGATGAATTTGTCATTTACAGTCCCTCACTAAATATTTGCTCAATAACACTTGAGCTTCTTCCCTCCTCATCTCTTCTACCATTAAACAGTGAAACAGAGTCTCTCCATGGTGCTGGATTCGCCATGCTACACATCTAAACTAAATCCTCCCCCTCATATCAACACCAGCCAGGTTTTGTTAGACATAAATGTAGCATGGATTCAGTTTTTTTAAGTATTTTTTTAAGTTTAAAGAGTAATATTCATCATTTAAACACTACACTTCGCCTCCATGATAATCACACATAGCTGCTATTTTGTGTCACCCGGTTCATCATTAATAAAAGATGGGCTGGCACTGAAGTGTTGAACTATGCTGCTGTTTTCATTAAACCAGAATCACATTGTACAGCCGGCTATAAAATAAAAAAACTGTTAAATAACACTTCTACTCTGAGAACTCATTTAGAAAACCAAGGGAGCAATAATAGAAAAGTGAAATGAAACCGTAACTCATAATCCCCTTGGATGTAAATTTTGTTATTAAATCTTCAAAAAATGACTGTAGGAGGTCATTTGTTTCTATAATTTTTATGAAGTGATGATAATGTGTTAAAAAATGTATGAAATAACATCACTTGAAGCTCAATATTGAATCTCTAGTGCTGTATTATCACCTGGTTTTATAGGCGTGGATGAAATTTAAGTGCTTAACCCTGAGCAGTAGCAAATGAGAAATGGGTCTTAAATGGGGTGTCAGTGGTAACAGGTTATCAACGGCTTGGTGAAAATCAATCCACGAGGGTATGACTATCTCCTCTCACCACTAAAGTCCACAATTTACCAGCATTGACTGGCCTATCTGCCCCTCATGGTGAAAGCATGAGCGTGTGATGGCCCGCGTGTTCTTCATGGCCGCTCCCTGCCTCAAATGAGATTCATGACAAATCTCCTACAAGAGGCCAGCCAATATGCTCGCTAATAGCATGCTCGACAGTACTTATCTATCTCCATTAAAGACACAGGTCATATCCCACAATGTCAAAACCATTAAATCAGAAAGAGTAGCATGACGCTTGTAGACTGGAGCACGTAGAGAGAAGCTCTGATTTAAGTTTAAAAACTGATAATCTGAGAACAAACTACAAACTGGTCGTGAGAGGCCCTGATGAGGATTTTTCTAATTATTGGAGCCAGTATGACTAATTTGCATATCCTTGTCAGCTGCTTTTACTTTTCTCAATTCAGCCACCAACGGAGCCGGAGTCACAGGAGATCACAACCAGCGCCTTCAGTTTGATCCACTAATATCAAATGCAATCACCCTGCGCTACATTTGGGATTTGTGCCTTGATATGAAGCTGTCGCTATGTGACCGTGGTGCTCCCTTTTTACCGTTTCAAATTAATACTGCCGGAAAATGCTTATCTAATCCAAAAAAAAAAACACTTATGCTGCACAATTGAGCTTAATTCTTTATAAATTTGAGCCTCGGCATGGATCTGTCAGTGGGAGCCCCAGCGCACATTTATCATGCAGATAAGATCAAAGCTTGGACAGTCGACTCCTTCTCTGGGGTTCATTTCATTTTTCATAACAGAGGAGGCCACAGCGATTCAGTTTGAACTCTTGTCGATGCACAAACGGACCTTTTGCAGGGTCGGTGTTTTCTTCAGGACCTGGACTCAACACGTCAAGGTTTCAATCAGACCAAGAAGCAAAGGAGTTAGTAATACGTGTAGATATCATTATAAACAAATATAAATAAACAGTATATTGGTAAAGAATTTAGTATCGTACTCTGATTAAAAAATTATATTTGGGATGCTGAACTGCATTTGTTAATGGTTGTTCTAGGCCGAAGCTGTTCAGTTCACTGTAAAAGTTTGTTTTGACCCAGAGACGATGAACACTTTCCATCTGTATTTGCCAAAGTCTTGGCGAGAAATTTCTGAAAACAATTGTTTTGTCAGATCAGCAATTGGGTATCATAAAAAACAGCAAGTTTACAGTTTAAAGGCCAAAAAAAAAGAGGAAAAATTGTGACAATAGAAAAGCCATGAAGCATATCTGTGAGTCCAGCAACTACAGAATTAATGGATCATGCTCCTCGACCTTCTAAGAGTCTTAACTACGACTCTCCTGACGTTCGTATTGAGTAAGAGTAAATGCACTTATGGAGTAGATCAAATGAGACATGATTATGTTTCAAAATTGGGCACAGATACAAGGAAAGACAGAATTATTACATAGTTGAACCGCAGTTTCATACAACAAAGCCAGCAAATAAAAGCCAAGAAGCAATCTGGTGATGCCAAACCACTGTGACCACTATTCTCTACTGAGACAAACTGCTTCTCATGTTTGCTCTTAGAGGAGGATTGTGGTGTTTTCAGAACCCTCAGTGTTGCCTGGCAGGTATCTGGAGTAGTTTGAGGAGCTGGATTATGTGTGAGCTCAGGGGTTTTGCTGCAGAAAGTCCCAAAAAAAAAGGGTTGAGCCATTCTGAAAGCACAGGATTTCTGACCTCTTGCTGTTTGGTGTTGCTTGATTGATTTGGGCAGATTGCAAACAAGCACAAAGCAGCATCTCTCCTTTTAAGGTGAACTTGAGTTTTTTTAGGAGTTAATCTAGGGATCCTTTTTTCTGCATACAAAATGATTGAAAACTACTTCTAAATCAAATGTTAGTGATAGCTGATTCAAGAGGCAAACTGGACTCATTTTCATTCAGAATTCCTCCCTGCCATCTCCATTCATCCCTCTAATGAACATCTCCATAGAGCTTATTAATAATGAATGCAGAGGAAAGATATAATGCACATCCCTGCCTTTGTTAAGCAGAGAAGCTGGTGCCAATTAAAATGATTATCACGGGTGTCATGGCCATCAGTGTGTGTAATCATATTAGCAATAGTTAGTGGCAGCAGGTTTGTGTGTGACACGTGTGTGCGCAATGACAGAGGGACAGAGGGAGCCAACAACACACACAGATCAGCTCTCAAAGCACAGAGGATTGTTGCTACAAAAATCAATATTTCTGCTTCTAGTTCAATTACATGGAGAGCAGGTAGCCGGTGACACTGCACCGACTGATATACTGCTGAGGATGCTCAGTTTGGATGGTTTGGTAGATTAAACAATAAAACAAGTGTATTGCATGGAGCAGAGGGTCCATGTCGTAGCTGAGTAGGAAAGACTGTACTTTGTGCAAAGGTAAAGAGTCATATATTAGTGTGCCAAAAATCAATGTACATAGATGTGAGATGAAAAAGAGGCTTCTGAAGAGTGTTAAATTCAAGCTCAAACTATAATTCACCAAAACTGAGCGCTCATATGCTGTTTTTTTTTTCCAGCGCACACGCGCTCAAACGCACACATTTGAGCACGTGCGTGTTTGCGTCCGGCTGCGTTTGCATTCCCAAACGCACAGAGCTGGACTACGCAGCTGATCTCGGTTAATCCACGCTCCCGCATTCTTACAGAGCTGCTTGGCTGTCCGAAAACCTAAGTTTGTTCGCGATCATGGATAAATATGTAGACTGCACCTGTGTCCAAAACGCATAAGTAAGACGAGTCGTGAAACTCCAGTTAGATTCGCTGCATTTAAACCAAAGTCTTGATGAACCAGGCGATAAAGTTTATCTCCCTCTGATGGGATTGATATGGGAAAGAAGATATTCACTTACCTGAAGTTATCAGATGAAACAGATAAACTCCCCACAGATCCATTTTGATGTGAAATGAATATTTCAGACAAGTCGTTTGACCTATACGCGTAGAGCTGAATAATCACAGGGCAAGAAGAGGATATCCCATCAAGCATACGGGGATCATGATAACCAAAAAAAATCTGTCGTCAAATTGTCTCTTGAATCTTCTCGTTTTCCTTCTTTATTCCCTCAGAATCCCATCAGTTTCTCCTCACACGGTGTTTCTGTCGCGCTTATGCGCAAAGCTCGAGTCATGCGTAATAACGCGGGTGAAAGTTGTCCTGCGCGCTGTTTGTATACCGTACTGTGAGGAGAGCCTTCTGTTGCGCGTCGAGGCGGTCTCAAAAGTCCTTGAGTCCGCTGCTGGTGAGATGCTGAGTGCTGCCGGGGGAAAGCACTGCCAAAGGGAAGGGTGATGAGAAGAGAGAGAAAGAGAGGAGGGGGGAGAGGGGCATAAAACAGTCCACTTACAGGGCTTCTGCATCTATAGTGGGGTTAATTCAGCTAGAAAACGTCATCTAAACCTTGTCTATGGGGACTTCAATGTCGTACTATAATAAACGGGATCTGAACTTGCATTTTAATGTTGTCTTATGGTGCTTTAGTTCATCCAATATTAATCTATTCTATTTTATTCCAGTCTAGTCTAACCTTCGTCATGGCCCTTGAATTTAGTGTGATAACATTTACGTAGACTGTAAGTTTAGTTTTCAAATACTGTACTCAAGTTTCTTGAAGGTTTTGTAAAGCTTGTCCTTTCATATTCCCTGCAGTTGTTCACAGTTTCTATTCAAGTTGACTATAGAGTGATACAGTCTTCAAAAGAGTTGATAAAAAGCTGCGAGCAAGCAGAGAGAAAGAGAAGTAAGCTGGTGATTTGAACTGAAGTAGGGGTGATATGAGGTGCTGAAAACCCTTTTTATTTTCATTTAAATCATCGACATATGGCACATTATTATTCTTTTATGCTTCTGTTTTTATATCTCACTAATTTTTCATTCAATCAAATCTAGAGTCTGAGACTGCCGGGGGTTGTCTCATGATCAATACAAATCCCATATCCTCTCTTAAAGTGGCTCCTTTGAGCTGCTGGAGGATCTGTCAGTTCACACAGCAAGTTTAACAAAAGATTAATATCAATAAAAGAAATAACAGAATTCTCAGAGGAGGCAGATTTGGGACAGTCTCAATCAGAAACCCATTTCACTTTTAGTTTAATGCACACATCGTTTGAAAGCTCACAGTCCAAATTCATGTCAACGGCGCACATCTAATTGGTTATGCAATGAAATACAGACGCACACACAGACAGACAGGCAGTCCCTTCTAGTGGATTCCACTGCAGAGTCTGATAGCTGAAGGTGCTGAGCAACACCTTAAAAAGGTCGAATTCACTCTCACTGGAGGTTAAATGAATAGAATCGCTAGTCTTTAAACGTTACCAGTAGAGAAGACTGTGTGGAAAGTCACCCAGACAGCTTGTCTATGGCTTATGTGAAAAAATAGAACCTTGTATGTATCCAACTTTGAAAAACCTTCCTTTAGTTTCATATAAAAGCCAAAACCACTTGGTCCATAGAGAGATTTGGATCCAGTTTCTGGTCACAACTGACTACCAAAGCTGCAGCGCCCTATTTTTCAGAGCTTGTGCACTGTTTGGAAACAGACAGCTATTGATTGTTCACTGTTAAGAATTCAACTTTTGCACCATCTGTTCATTTTATGGTTCAGAGGCCTCTTTTTCAGGTAACATTGGCGGGTCAGGCAGGATGTGCATTTGGAGTTTGTTGACTCACCCCCTTTAATTTGTCTCCAAAAGCAGCGAAAACAAATGGAGTTTCCAGATGATCTGCGCAAACAAAGCTGGTGAGGAGCAGATTACAAAGGGTTACTATGCTGGATGAGGCTTACTCAGTATGTGCTTACTTAAACTCTGTGTGTGTGTGTGTGTGTGTGTGTGTGTGTGTGTGTGTGTGTGTGTGTGTGTGTGTGTGTGTGTGTGTGTGTGTGTGTGTGTGTGTGTGTGTGTGTGTGTGTGTGTGTGTGTGTGCGCGCATGTATAGGGTCTGTAAGGCAACTCAGGGGTCCAAGAGGATGATCCAGCTGTGCAGCAACGACAGAATGAAGACTTCTGAAGAGGCATTTGAGCCCACTGCTGTTATCTTTACTGCCATTCATGGCTGCTCTGCTATACTGCTTCACTGGGCTACTATGAGCTGGCAGCATTAATTCAAGCTCTTTCTTTTTTGCTTTAGTTGTTTTAAGTTTATATTCTGATTTATGCTGAGGCCTCCGATTGGAAAGACTGTAACTGTAGAATGTCTTTCCACCTCAACGATTGCAATTTTAACTCCCTAACAAGCTTGCAATGAGAATATTTGGAACAATACATTACCATCTCTGCTGGGAGTCAGAGTACTTAAACACGGGGAGATGGGCTCCGGAAAATGCTTTATGAATCTTTAAAGAGCAGCCCAGTGCCATGGGGATGTTTGGTAAAGTACATATTTGCAATGTACTTGCGCATTTGTAATTCAGATCAACATGAAATTTGAGGCAGAAGGAATGAAAAAGGCCCAGTCAACAGTTTAGGGAAAATTAGAAGGAAAATGTTTATTTTCTTTTACTCTATTGAAGTCTTCGGCTCCCTCTCAGAGGATCATGGGAGCACAGGGGTTTGTCTTTCTGTACTCTCAAATTAAAAATCATATATCTCACTTGATTCGAATCACCTCTGTGTATTTTTCCCTTTAGACACATGGCATACATCAGCCTCTTAACCCCAAACCCTTTTATATAAACATTACTTTATTTTCCTATTGACACAGAGCCGCTGTTATGTGGTCCGGCATGTCTTACTTCCTAACTATCTCTCAATGCAGAGAGTCGGCGCTGCTTAAACCCAAGAGACAGACAGCTCTCAGTTCTTGCTTCAGGCAAAGGTACATTGATTTCCTATCTTTGTGAGCCAGAGGAGCGTGGACGCGACATTAATGAGGGATTAGTTATTGTACCCATAATCATTGCTATGTCAAAGAGCAATAACAGCTAGATGAAGAGGAGCTTTGTAAATATTTGTTGGAGCCATTTAACAGCGACTCTCTCTGCCAGATTCAGGCTTCTAACTTCTGCATGACAAACCAAAGTATCGTGGCCTCATTTTCTTTTGCTTCAAAGCAGAGTGTCCCATTTGATGTGTACCTATTTTTGCCTGTTATGGGGATTTTGTTGGGTTTTTGTTTTGTTCTGGGACGTCTTAAAGCTCCAAAACATCAGGTTTAATATTCTGACGAATAAGAACTCCTTCAGGTTGTGGGGTCGCTAAATTAACAGTATCATGTCCACTATGTGTTCTTGACTTTGGCAACAAAGACAAAGACATGTAACAAAGAGCCAGAGCTTATTAGCACCACATTATGATCCAAATAATTGCCTGACAAATTTCTATCATGCAAAATATTCTTTGACAGAATTTTGATAAAGAGAATAGACTTTTCGGTAATCTCGCACAGTTATATCGGCCCAACATTTTTGAAAAATCCCTGTAAAAAAAGGTAGAAAAAGTTTCGTTTTATTCAAGCTTCGTTTTGTTGTCATTTCAATTATGCATTCTCAGCTTTCATGGGAGCCTCTGCTTTCCTCCAGTTAGTCACAAAAAAATCAGGGAATTTAAAACAAAACAAGGCAACATGATGATAAAAATCAAACTAAAATAAAATAAAATAAACTTTGTCACTGGCAATCTTTTTTTAATCCAAAATCAGTATCCTCCTCACATAAATGGTCACTGTCTTTTCATACTTAAGCCTTTAAACTATTAATAATTTTGAATAATTTATTGAATTATTTGTTCTATTTATTAATATTGAATTTCCCTTCGAGGATGAATAAAGTTCTTCTGATTCTTATTACACAGTTACAAACTATTTCCTGTCTCTCATAAAACTTTTGGCGACTCTTTAAAACACTTGCTAAATTCTGTCCCATTTGTAGTTAGTAACCAGAGAAAGTACCGCCAGCTGACACTGTGGGACCATTTGTGCTACAGACTGTGTAAAATCCATAATCATGAGGGTCAAAGCTCAAGGTACAACACTGTGACAAAGTGGTTTGTCCCACTTGTATGTATACATGCAATAAATGTGCTTTATCGGAGCAGCTGCAGCTTTGCAAATGAAAAGGCATGTGAGTTCAAATGTAGGAATTGTGTAAAGGGAAGTCACTGGTCCAACTTTTAATTTTCACAGCAGCTCAATTGATTGTTTCAATGAGCATTGGCAGTGATGTATTCACAAAGCCAAAACCGGCTGCAAGAAACTTAATCCAAACTTTTTCTGTGACATCTGAGCAAATCTACGACAAATTCCAGTTTATCGAGGCCTGTAACACAGCATTGTAAAACCCTATCATGTGTCATTATCAATTCATTTCAAGGCACAGTAACCATGCACAAATATTCTGCATCTACTTCAGTTTTGGAATCAAATTTATGTGCATAGATCTGTGGATTGACTTTACTCTGCCCCATTCTGGTGTGAGTGGTAACAAATAGGGGTCTGAATTGTGGGGTAACTAGTGGCACAACAAGATACAATAAAATATGGTCTGATAGCATAAGATACAAGGTATGAAATTATATACAAAATGATATGACAAGGTATGAAATTATATGTCTTTATAAGGTCTAGTACTTTGTGACATCAGTTGGCAGCTATTGGAGTCCAAGACGAATTTCCCTAAGAGGACAATAAAGTATATCGTATCGCATTGTATCGTATCATAATGATTTGATACAATGCGGTACTGTACGATACGATATAAAACGATACGATACAATAAATGACGAACACTTCCTTTTTCACAGCAGAAATGTGAGTGTTTGTTAACTGGTTATTAGAAGAGCCTTAATGTGGTTTGATATCATTCTTATAGACTGGTCTCATATCAGCAGAGGAGTCTATTTTAAATTTACAAAAGGATTTGATATATATTATTAAGTAGTGTGATATAATATGATACTATCAAGCAGAAACCTCCTGTGTCGAAATATGATGCTTATTGGAAAGTACATATGACTGCATAATCAGAGCCATGGGTGGGTTGATAAGGAGACTTATGAACTGCTTCAGCTTTGCCTCTTTGTATTTAGATCAATCAAAAGTTGAATCAGCATTTCCAATATGGTGACAGCCGTGGATTGGCTTCAAAACCCCACTGTGAAAACAAGTGGGCAATGCCACTGTCACAAAACCCATGTTTTACTTAACCATGGGTACAATCAAGTGAAATACAATATGAAACAATCATCACAATTCATATATTGATACAGAATGCCTCCTGAACATTAGGTGCAAGATTAAAGTCTGCGAGAAGTCTTGGAAAAAGTGGCATAGTGA